CTTACAGTTAGTACTTCACGGGTGAAGCTAAGGTTTAAATACTTGAGGTGACTCGGCCAGCCAACAATGTCGTACCACCCATCGGCAGGTTTCTTCGTCACAGTGGTTACTCCCGCTCTCTTTTCGGGCCGGTTTTTCCCAGTCCTAACATGATAGGTGCCGACTGACGAATCACTATCGGTATGTACTCTGCCCAGTGACGCATTATGCGGCGCTAACACGTGCGTATTGTACGACTTGGGCCGCCATTGTGCATATCACTCGGGTCGATGCACAAATCATCACGATAACATGACAAGATCTTTCTCCTCCGTTTCAACACCGACCAATCTTTAAACAAGCGAAAGCCACCCTGGCCCAAGTGCCACGCTTGACAGGCGACGACGAAAATGACGACGACAACGACAGAGCTCTATCAGTCGGCTCAGTCGACGAGAAAATCGGACTTTTTGTCCAACGAGTCGAATACCTGGAAGACATGGTGGTTGCCATGGTACGCTAAGGTAGGTAGAGGTAGGTACCTAATACCTAAGCTTTGAAGGATTTGGAAGATTGCTTGGTCGGTTGATGGGGGAAAACTTCAAGGTTAAAGACACAAGAAGTGACTGGAGTTGGCCAGCATAAATTGAGAGTCGGCATGACTTAGGTTGTCGTCGAGTTTGCTCGTCGCAGGCAGTAATGACATTAACGATTGGACGCGCCCGCTTCGTTACACCGCCTTTCCCACCACTACCCCCGAAACGACTGGCGCAGAGTCACTCGAAGATGCATGTCCTCTGCCGACGACCGACGTATCATGTCTCGCTGACATAAGCGTGCACCACTTGGGCAGCCATCATGCCATGGGCACAGAAGTTATCGATCGCGACACACCAAAACACCTCACCTCACCTTCGTCATTGACGAAAGCACCTCATTCATGGACAGGAAAACCAGCATGGACTCCCCATACTCCTCCACCTCCACCTCCACCCCAACTTTCCACCCCTTCCCCTTCCTCCCTCTCGAACTGCGTCTCCAAATCTGGGAATCCCTAATCACCCCGCGCACCATCCACCTCCGCGTCGCCACCTTCTGGCGCACCTTGACCCCCGTCTACAGATTACTCGTCGCCCCCGCGCCGTCGTCGTCCTCGTCCTCAATACCACCATCACCACCTTCATTCCTCCAATCTCTCCTGCTCACATGCCATGAATCCCGCGCGGTCGCACTGAATTTCTACCAAAAGGCTTTCTCAGAATGGGACACGGACCGCTGCGGTTACGGTTACGGTTACGGCAATCCTCCCCGTCCGCGTCCGGCTCATGCTACCTCTAGGTATCATTGGGTGAATTGGGACTTGGATATGATTGATATCGGCCGGTCAGAAGGGGGGATCTGTTACGTGGAGCGATATGCGAGGCTGATACGGAGGTTGAGGAAGGAGTGTGATCGGACAACGACGGTGGGGAGGCAGGAGTTTAGGGAGGTGAGGGACTGGTTAATGAATATGAATATAAAGGTGGCAGGGGAGATTGGGGAGTGCCCCTGGGCGAAGTTGAGGGAGGTTGAGGTGGGTGTGAAGGATGATGCGTGGTTTCCTGAGAGTTGGAGAGGGGATGGCGCGTTTGTGGATGGGTGGAAGGTGGAGGTGAGGGGTTGGGAGGATGGGAGGGGGTATACTCTAGTTATGGAGAGGATGGACTAACGGACGGAGTAAAGGTGACAACAAAAGAGGTTGACTGGAGTTGTGGTCTAACGGAAGAGGAGAAACGGAAACTATGGTAGGGCGGCCCCGGGCACGGACTTCTAATAAGCCGAGGGAAAGATGAAGGATAAGGAGGATAGAGAGGATAGATGCTTGGTTTCATGAAAGAGCAGAAAAAGAAGAAGAGCAAAAAAAAAGGGTGGAGAGAATGGGAAATAAAAAGGTTGCGGCGAGGTTGGAAAAACGCCAAAAAAAGATGTTGCTTAGAAGCTTTGATTGACCCCAACCCGATTTGAACGGATAACCTTTCGATCTGGAGTCGAACGCGCTACCGTTGCGCCATGAGGCCATTGTTGAGGGATATCGGTAGAGCTGGCACTTATTAGAGCAATTTGTCGAAAGCGGGAAACGGGATGCTTCGTTCCGTCTGGGCTGTTGGGAGCTGGAAGGGAGAAAGGGACACTTTGTTGGATTTCAAAACACGGGAGGAGAGGTCAATGCGCCCGGCCCGGGCTCACCGGGGTAGCTGCCGGGGAAAACGCCGTTGCCGTCCTTACGGCGGGTGACCGCAGCGACCGCATGGAGGGAACTGAAGGAACGGTTTCTTGCATCAAGACATGGGGAAGTGAGAAATATTCCTTCCATGTGCGGGAGGACGGGAGGTTGTTTGTAGATTGGAAGGAAGGGAGCTACAGACGACGGACAAATGCGTGTGCGATCTCCATCGCGGGTTACTGCAGGTACCGGTGCTTACTGTAGCGGCACCGCAAGAGCACTGACGAGCAGCTGGCCAGTGCGCTGAAGCCCGTTTGTTCCCCGATTTTTAAGTTGTCAATCGTTCGTCCGACATCAACCTTTCTTCCCCATCAATCGAAGTTGCCTTTATTCAGTTTTTCATACATCTTATCCCTTCGATTTCCCAACGCAAAACTTTCCCAAGGTATTCACCCCAACTTCCCGAACTGAAGACCCAATCCCAAGCCAGGCGTCAGGACGGATACCATCCAATGGCACCCGTCAGTACCACGAGGCCTCTGCCAATAGTGCCATTCGTGATGTGACAGCGGCCATTCTAGACCTTTACTTTACTACCCATGTCACTCTCCGAATCCCTCTTTGGCACTTCGGCTACTAGTCAGCTCGTGGCTTTTTCCAAATTACCACTTAACAACGGATGCGGGCGTTACGACGTTCAGCCGCACGATCAACGATCTTAGGACATGCCGCCTTTTCCAATTGAGTAGACAGTAGAATCATCGGCTGTGCGTGGGCAAGGCGAAGACGAGAAGCTTGTCTTCAGAAAGTAAGTGATGGACAAGCAGGGACACAGAGAAAAAAGGCTGTACTATATCATTGTCGACATCCCAGTTACCAGTTAAATGGTATATGATCTCTCTTCCTGTCCTCTTTTTACAACCCAACTTACTCAAGATCCTCTTTCGCGCTACTCTCATCAGTGAGCCTACTCTTTCCCCATCATCCATCATGTCTACCTCCAGGTTCGACTTTGTCCAAGTTCTCAAGACCTCCAATACTCCCGGTGCTTCATGGCGATTGCCACCTCCCAAGGGCTTGGCTCCGGGGCCAGTGGAAGAGTCTGGAACCCTTGAGGATAATATTAATAGCCATCTGGGGGAGTCTGTTGGGTTTGATCCCGATAACCGCATCAAGGGACAGGAACAGGAGACGAGTGACGTTGGGGATGGTAAAGCTATCGTGAAACTTTCCATGCGCTACGAGGGAATGGCTGCCGCCGATGACCGATGGGCGTAAGTCCAACATCACACCATCTCTCAACCACCCGACCTTACATGTGTAGTATATATTAACCGTAGATTCTCTCCAGAACCGGGACAGGCTACCTCATCGCGCCCGACACCTTCATCACAGCCGGACACAATGTGTATCACCGCAGCGAGGATGGCAACAACGGTCTCGGCTTCGGCCGTCTCACCAATATGAGATGTTCCATCGGTTACCACGGGAAGGGTTCGGCTCCCGTCCAATACCGCGCAGCCACCAAGGTCGTCACAACCTCCAAGTACATCATCGACGGCGACGGTTCCCGTGATATCGCCTTTGTCCAGCTCAATAAGCCCTTCGGCGGCGACGATCTGAAGCTTTTCAAGTTCCACGATGTACCTTTCAGGGACTCCGCCTATTTGGGGGTTGTCGGCTATCCCAATCATGCACATGAGCAACCGGGCGATCAGCAAAGTGTCCAGCTGGTGCATGTGCCCGGAGCTGTCATTAGCACCACCCGTTGTTTCAACGGATCTGCAAACAAGTCCGGCAGCGTCATTGGTGGCCAGTATGGTAACGATTACAAGGCGCTCATGGCTGGGCTCGGGAGCATCGACGGCGCGTATGTCACTGATATCAGCGAGGGGATACCTGGTGCCGTCCCGAAAGCTTTGTACAAGTCCGACTTGACGGACAGCGTCCTCGTTCTTAGCGATACCGCCTTCGCAGAGTCTGCGTCCATCTTTGATGGGCTAGTAGAAGCGGTACAGAAGGTGGGATCAGCCGTGGTGAAAGTTGCTCCCAAGGTCTTAGGTGCAGCAGCGCCGCCGGTTTTGGTTGAGACTGTTAAGAGCCATGCTCTCGCGGAGTCTATCTCTGATGATATCTCTACTCCTACATAGCATCACTGTTTGACACGGTGTTTCCCCGGTAGCACTGTACTCAATGAAACAGGCGTAGAACAGGATGGGCGGTATATCTAAGAGGACGTAGTCGGCGAGACTTCCCTATCTACCTTCTATCTTACCCCGATACATTCATCATGTTCATCACGTCGTTCAGGCCATTCCACGCGTCGCTACTAAGTCTCATTGCCCTGCCTTCTTCATACAGAAAGTATCACTTTCGTCCGAGATCCCTAGGTTTCTTCCCAAAATTGAAGGACTTTGTGGCTTTTTAGGACTTTGGTTCGCGGCGGAGTGACTGTCAAGTTGTGCTGGGGAGATGTCAACAATGGTGCATGATTCCTGTGAGTGCGGAACATGGACATGATTGTGGTTTAGACTGATTCCAAGCCGTTTCTTTCAATAGTCTTCCTTAATGTGTATGGTCTTTCAGCGTATCCTCAGGTACTTAAGCAGGACTCCCCCCGGGATCTGGATTTTTTGGGTCTTATTCCTCTTCCCATCCTCCGTGTTTTTCTCGTTCTGCTCACAGGCAACTCCAATCGTTGTCCGTCTCCCATCCCGCTTCGCTGCAACTCACTAGCAACACATCGCAAGAACTTAGCCACGCTAGCACTGCCATCGGCAGGCAATACGATAAGATAACCATTAGGCGACACTACTGGGCAGTCATTCGAATGACGGAATTCCTTTCGCCACGGAAAGCCAAAGCATTTTCCTGACCTCTCTCGTCAGAAACTTACCAAGCCATGACACCCGACAGGACCAACGACCCGGAGTCTGGGTCTGATTCCCACTGGCCGGTTGGCCACGGCGAGGGGGAGTCTGATGATGACCAACAACGATCACGGATGAGTTGAAGGAAACATGGAAAGTAGGATAAAGTATGAGATACAGAAAGTTGCAGTCCACTGTGTTGGATGTCACTTACCATAGTACCTCTATACCTAGTATATCGACGAGCACGACAAGCACGAGAAGGAACCACCAAAGAGATCGGAGGAGGAGCAACACACATCAACGAGTGATGCCTCTCATCGAGCACCAACCTAGAGATCGCACAGACAGATCCCACAAACAGCATACGTCAGCGTCAAGATCACCCGCGACAGCATCGGGATCGCCATCGGACTGGAATGACATCATGATCACTGCATCAGAAAGTCAGAAACGATGATCGTGCGCAACATGAACTCCCTTCATCGCCATCAACCTTATCGTACCACTTCGCGCCACTTCTCTGTATTATTACCCTAGCTGACTGGACCTCTGACTGACATGCATTCCCGTCCCTTGTGCAATTGCGGATGGAGTCAAAGTGTCAAAGAAATCTTCTCGAAGGGAAATAGGACCTTTGTTCAGCATCCTTGAAATTTTCTCATCTGGTCAGAGAATCCCTCCCTCCCTATCCTCCTTCATGATATGATGGTTCCCAGGTGTGGCTATCATCTCGTCGGTACCTTACCCTACTCAGTCATATCCGCTCCGCTGGTCTTAGTACCATCAAAAGGAACGCACACGTGGACCTCGTGGATTAAATGCGATGCTGGGATGTGGCGCCTTGTCAACTATGATTGCGGCGATGGATGGATCCTAAACAAGGAACACGCCTGTTGGTGATGTTGACCCTTGTGGGGGAAAGGAAACTCGGGAAAAGGGTTGTGTGACGGAAGTGGGCGATCGTATCCCTTTCGGTGCAGTGCGGTGCGGTGTATCGGGTGGATTAGAGATTAAGAGATGAAGAGTTGATGGCAAGTCCGGACTATGAAGGGAAGAGTGGAGACATCGTATCCTTCACTTCCCTTCAATCGCTGGATAAACTAAAGGGTAAGCAGCTCGGGTACCTAATTAATCTCAGCTGTTCCTGCTGTGTGCATTCTTTCTCCTCGGTCGTGCACTTTTGGCCTTTGGCACTGTTCGCTTACACGTTGCCCGTGGCAGTCATCTCCCAAGACAGTGTTCTGTGGCTGACAAGTGGCTTCCAGATGCGAGCAGATGTCAGATTTTGGATGTCAGATTTAGATGTCAGATTTCAGATTCTTGGCTGCGAGATGAAAGGGATTTTGCGTGCATCCAGACTTCCTCGCCTGTTTCGCTTGTTGTGAAAGGTGAAAAGAGAAGAAAAGCGAAGAGAAGAAAAGAAAAAGAGAGAGGTCATTCCTTCCCCAGTTCCCCGCTGTCCATCTCCCGTCTTGTCGTGTCAATTGTTTTCGAGTCCTCAACTTCATGATCCCTTTTTGCCACTGCATTCGATAAGATTGATAGGAGTTCCTCTCCGGTCTCGTGCCGTCCCGTGGTCTGTGCCGTGATGCTGACATAAACTCTCCAGCGCCATCCAAACTCACCTCCGCACGCCTCATTTTCCCCGAGACGCACAAGATTCCAGGTTCGAAAGGACACTGGACGCCACCATTCTCATATTTGATGCAAATGCCTTGTTACTAAGATATCCAAGGTATCCAAAGCAAGATTCGAGGCCCATGCTATCGAATCGAATGGCCGATCACACAGACTGAATGACATGCAGCTGTCAGAGGGGCAGCTCGAACCTCGAGGGAGACATGCAGGTACCGTTGCTTTTTCCTGGGGCTGGGAGTCTGAGAGCTTTATGCCGGGCTGGGTCCGGTGCCGAGGCCTGCGAAGGTTGCACGGGAGATGGCTTGCAGGCTTTACAGCTCTGACAGCGTTGCAGCGAGTACAATGCGCTATGTTCCATTCAGTGCCAGGACGTGCTCCATCTCGGTTAACGCGCCCCCAAGAACGTCTCCAGCAGCCCCGTAATTTCTTTCTTGATGATGGATCTGGATTGGGGTTGGCAATGGGAAGCCATGCCCAATCAGTGTCCTTCAACCGAAGCATTTACGTACTTTGTTTACTTGGATCTCTTTTATGCTGCCTAGACAATTTGTGAATATGGAATCCAAGTTCTGGTCTTCTGGAGTCTGTTCGTCGTTTCAGGACATTCGGATCGATAGTTATCTAAAGTCTTGGTCGGGGACTTAAAAGGACTAAAAAGGACCCTAAAGTCTTGGGAGGTGTGCCCGCAAGTGCATCCCTGCTTTCTCCATGCATCTCATCTTCAATGGGCGATTCTTTTCTTCGTCATGTGTTGTGCCGAAATGATTTTCGTACGGGGGAGAGACGACTGAAGTCAAAACGTCGCTATCAAAGCTCCGGAAGTGGCAGCCAACCCTCAGCACGAGCAAAGCTCGCTCGCAATTCGCCGGACTTTTTGCCGTAGCTGGCCCGACGCCGTAACGGGGATCCGATGCCGATGCGTTAATCCCGATCGGTTAAGGCGGTCCACTGGGGCTAGAATCGATGGAACCGATGGAAAAAGTCTCCGTTCACCCCCGTATCCCAACAGTACATCTCTGATATCCCATTCCCAGCGGATATCCAAGCTATCGCAACTGGACTTGGCGATGGAAATATCGTGGAGACGACCGGAGACGACGACGACCGGACAAAGAGGAGGAGGACAACAATGACCGAAAGAATATAATCACATCCCCTTATTCGGAGCAAAGTGTGAATGAGGTCAAGTCTGCCAAGAAAAAATGTCTCTCTTTTCTTTCCCCCAGAAACATGCCCTGTCCCAGTCATTCAGCTGCCAAGACATCGAGATCATGCGGAGTCCTGGGTGACTTTGGGATGTTCCCGGCTTCCAAAAAAACATTTTGGCGAATCGATGTTGTCAGCTTCGAGCCTTCGACAGCTCGGACCAACGACCCTGATTTTCCAACAAAGAGCTTGTTGACTGCAAGAACCGCAAAGAGGTCCGAAAGAGGGAGGGTTAAGACTGAAAGACCACGGCTTGTACCGATACGCGAGTCGAAATAGCCGATCGCGGGCGACTGGACAATGTTGTTCATTGACAATGAGGGGGAGGAGGGAAGTTGGGAACAAATCAGTGAAATCGGACCAAGTAGTTGACGGTCTGGTAATGTCTGTGTAAAGGAGAACCGGGCGGGCACCACCAAAACTTCATTCTCACGAGCTTTTCAGGTTTGGTCTCCAAGTGAAACATTTGGCGTGGTCAGTGGCTACCTATCCCTCGGTACGGGCTTCCATTCGTGTTTTCCACACAATCCCGCAATCCCACAATCCCACGCTCCCCCTTGGCATCCATCCTGTCTCGAGAGAGCCGCACTAGCGAGCCCAAGAGTCCGTCCATGGTGTCGAATTTTCCTTGTACAGTAGAGACAAGTTGTCTTTTCTTTTCACAGCATGGGGACTGGACCGGACGAATCTCGTGCTTGCCATGACCAAAAGTTCCCCAACCAAGCTACCGTACGAATCACAAGTCGCCAACTAACTCGGCAACCACTGTAAGCACAGCCCACCACACCACACCTTTTTGTCTCCCTTATTGCTATGGAAAAGGGCAAAAGAAGAAACCCTTTTCCCACTGGGTTGGCTACACGTTGGATCGAGTGAGGAACACCCCTGTGCCCTCCATGCACAAGGTTACCTAGACTTACCTAATGTCGCCGTCAGCTCTTAGCGCAACTGTGCGTGCAAGTCATGGAAAACGGGGATGGGCCCGGCTTACCAGCTGACTCGACTCGACGCTTATCTCTTTCTTTTGGCTTTTATGTTCCACACAAATGCAAGGGGACTACATGTAGGGGACTAGGGGAGTGCTTTGACCACAGAAGTGATATATCGAAGGTGCTTCCCTGCCTGCATTTTAGTTTTGAACGGTCTAGCTCTGTTCGTTTGTATTGTTGTTTTGCGTTTTTGTGTTTTCAATGTTCATGAAAATTTTCCTCGTGATGTTTCTATACATCTAACACAGCTCTGCCACTGCGACTACGACTTGATCTGGACAAAGTACTTCTAAACGACACACACATTCCTTTCATTAACACTAACACTCCACTGACGTCAACCAAGCATTTACCTGAACAATAAAAGAAAACAATATCACACCAGAACCAGACAGACAGACAGACATCACACACCACTCCACTAGGTCTACTCGTTGCTTTTCCTTTTATCTCATCACTTCCACTTCCTGTCTCACATCTCAACTCAACAAAACCAATGACGGCCTAAACGTCCCTCTGGCATTGCCCTTTCGGCGGCATGTTGGATTCACGACCACAATAATACTACCCTTACCACAACCCAGAGACAACAAATTAAGCTTCATCAATAAGCTTCCGCACTATTTTTTCCAACTATACCACGCTGCCACGCTGCCACGCTGCTGCCACGCGGCGATTGACGCCGATCCCCTTCGACTCCATCGAACCCATCGAACCCACATGTAACGGTCCATCGTTCATCACCACTACCATCACTATCATCAACACGATCATCAACACGATTTGATTGTCAACCAACAATCCTTGCGCATCCCAATCCTTGTAACACACAACTGAAACATCCCCATTAACCAACCGACCCGAAACACATCACATCACCTACCCAACCCTCGAATACCGTACCTAACAAAGCGAATGCACTCAAAACGCTGCTGGAAACCAACACAAAGATGACATCCTCAACCCCATCACCACTGTCACCACAGAGCTCAGAAGAAGACCTAGCCGCCCTAGCCAAATACATCGGCCAAGTCGTGCCCTTCCACATATCTCCCGGGATAATTGTGCTCAGCTACATCATCAGCTTATGTGGTGCGATTTCGACTCTGGAGCTGATGAACCGCCGGACGTCGAGTAAGGGATTGTATAATCACTTGTTGCTTATCGGTGCGGCGATCAGTTTGGGGGGTGTGAGTATTTGGTGTATGGTATGTTTTTGTTCTTCTTCTTTTTCTTTCTTCTTTCTTTCTTTCTTTCTTTCTTTCTTGCTTTCCACCCTTCCTCGTTTTCTCGTTTTCTCGTTTTCCATGCTGTTTCCGTCCCTTCCATCAAGACTTTTATCCAAAACATGGAATTACCTAGAGGTACTAACCCTCCCTTCGGTCGGGGTTTAATAGCACTACATAGGCAACCGCGCCATAATCCTGCACCACGGCGAGGTCTCTCTGCAAGTAGTTTACGATGCAGGAATAACTGCCGCCTCCTTCTTCGTGCCCATCGTCGTTTTATTATCCGCCTTTTTTATCACAGCCAACACGACGCTCATAACCTGGTGGCGCATCCTTTTGTCAGGCGCCTTGTCGGGGGGCGCAACATGCGGTATGCATTACCTCGGTTCGGCCGCTATTCGCAACTACAAGTGCAGCTATGAAACGGGGTACGTGGTGGGCGCGACGGTTATCGCCGTATTCGTGAACACGGCGGTGCTGGCGCTGTTCTTTGTGTCCAAAGCGCTGTGGACGAATAGTTGGTGGAAACGATTGGGGTGCGCGGTGGTTTTGTCGGGGAGTGTGTCGGGGATGCATTGGTGCGCTGCGGTGGGGACGCGGTATCGGCTGCAGAATTTGGAGAATGTGAGGAATATGGTGGGACATAATGCGACGATCATCGTGGTGCCTTTTTTGGTATGTCGTCCCAAGGAAGCATGGATAAAAGGGAACGGGGCTGACGACAGACTGAATTAGGCGATATCAAGTTGTTTGGTCATGGCGGGCGTGGCCATCCATTCCAGCAGAATCCGCAAAGTGTACGCCAGCAAAGCGCAAAAGATCACACTCGCTGCTGCCATTTTCGACGAGCATGGCCGGATCCTCGTTACGCCGGATGGTAACTTGCCAAGTGAGGAGATCACGACTACTTTTCTCCAAAAGGTATATAAACAATCCCCCTTTTTCCCCTTCCCCCTTTTGTCCCCCCCCTTGCTAATGCCAATAGACCCAACACGACATCTTTTCCACAGGCCACCCCCTCTTCCACTGGATCTACCAAGCCTCCCGCGACTGGTACCTCATCTCCAAAATGGTCGACAAAATGGACCGCCACCTCGCCTCGCTCCCGCACAGTCCCTCCTCGCACTCCCGGAAAGCCCGCATGGGCATCGAATTCATCGACGAAGAAGGGAAAATTATCGAAGACTACGACGTCATCTTCCGGGAAATGTTCTGCCTCGCGACCGTCGACCTTTCCGCAAAAGTGAACATGTCGCTGGACGAAGCGGGCGTTTTGTGGGACGAGATTCTGACGACCGGTGGGACCTTACCCGGTGGGAGTGGGAGTGGGATACATAGTCCCGGGTATGGGGAGCATAATTCTAGCAAAAGGAATTCGGACTTCAGTGGTCACGGTGGTTCTGGGCTTGATAAGAAGGGATCGACTTCGACTATGACTACGAGCACGACTATGACGGCTTCGGCTTCGGCGGTGGAGATGGCGGCGCAGAAGAACATGAAGAACTGGGAGGATTTGGCGGAGAAGGGCATGGTCCACACGGGTGACCATGGACATGGTTCGTTGATGTTCTTGGTCAAGAGGGTGCAGGGCAGTCATGCGGTTGACAAGCTCGAAGCCTCGGGACATACTTTTGCCGACCTGCATCAGGTGTGCAGGATTATGAACAACAGCATGCAGATCCGGACGGGCAAGTTGGAGGAGAAGTTGAGGTCGATGGAGCGATACACGTACGACGCCATGCTGGAGCCGGGTGTTCACGTTGGGTTGTTCGCCATCCGAGCGAGGGTCGATGTCCAGCAGTTCGATGTCATGGTCCGCAAAGAAGCCCGCGGCTTGCTTCCGAGTGTCAAGCTGCCCATTGAACGACTCAGTTCCTCCGATTTCGCATTTCTTCGCCGCCACGACGGGCTGTCGATATCTTACTTCCTCAAACGCTTCCGACACAGCGAGGACATCCCCCAGCAAGACACCAAGATTGCTCAAATCCTGTACGAGGCCATCAAAGACCTCCGATCACTTGTCGATGACACTCTCTTCGATGAGGCAACGCTGGTGGCCAAGGTCTCCCAGGTGCCATGCAAATCACCCGACAATGACTCGCGTGCCATCACTTGTTCCATGCTCGCCTTCTGCATGATGATTCCCATCCACAAGAGCGTCAACTGCGCCGAGTTCGAGTTCACTCCCCTGCCTTTCTTCAAGGTTCGTCAGCTGGCGTACAAGAACTCGCCCTACCACGCCGCTTTCGCTCGGTCCGTCCATCGCGAGATTTACCCGATCTTGAATGACTTTCCCACGACGACGACCACCGTCGACAAGCGTCGAGTTCCCGCCTGGTCGTCCTCATGGCTTCCTTCACTGGTGTCGATGCCGATTTTCCATCTCTGGCGACGACCAAACCATCAATCCCACGACCTCCATCCCTGGCGTCACCAGCGCGAAGACATGGATTCTTCGTCACTCGTCTATTCCACCAAGGAACACGTCCGCCAGCCTTCTTCACATCGGAGCATTTCGACACATTCTCTCGACGTGTACAGCACCATCAACTCGGACGACAACAAGGGAGGGACGCAGATCCAGCTGCAGCCACAATCATCTCTCCAACTTTCTCCTCTCACTCTTCCATCACCTGGCTCAGCGCAGCAACAGGGGCAGCAAACCCCCGGTAGCGCGATCGCCCCGACTGGAGAACTCATGACTTGCCCAATGACTCTCCACCTATACTCACCTCGCGAGAAGCCACAACAGCTTTCCTACGGCGGCATCATGATTTCTCAGGAAGTCTCCGTGTCGGTCGACGACTCCGCTCCGGCTGTTACTATCTCAAGCGGTAGCCACGGGAGATCACCGCCTCATACGCCGCCGGGTCACCGCTGCCATCACCACACGCACAGCAACAACCATCATGTTCTTCACAACCATCGCCATGGTAACCACCAACACAGTCGTAGCGCAGGAGGGGCGTTTGATCTGCAGATGTTGCACGGCGGGAAGAAGAGGCGGTTCCTGAGTAACCAGCGTGCTCGGTCTCGGTCTCGGTCTCGGTCTCGATCAGGGTCGATGGGCGCCGGGTTAACGTTATCGACAACAAACCCAACCAGCCCTCGCTCCCACGGAAATCCCAACCGTCGCAGCTCCTGTCCGCCCGATTACATTGACCCTCTCAACCCGCTGAACCTAGAACTGCTCTCCGACCACCAGCTCCCTGAGGAATGCGTGATCGACCACTACGCGCACAACTATAACCACACCGTTCGCCACGGTCTCGGTCAAGGACTCGGTCAACTCGGCCACTTGTCACCACCGCAAACGAGTTCAACGCGCCGATTAGGATCCAACATGTTGAATTTCCCGCCTCCTGATCCATCAATCCATTCTGCTCCCGGCTCGGCCAAATTCGATTGCAGCTCCTCGTCACAGCAGCAACAGTCCGCAGACGAACCCGGCCCAGCTTCACCCAAATCCCAAACAGACTTTGGTCTAGCACTTGGCCCTTCATCACCCACCTCTCCCCCTTCCACTTCCATTTCCAGTAACCGTCCCCGCACAGCCCCCGGCTCACAAGCAGGTCTGCAGCTACAACCACTAGGTAGCGTCCTTTCCTTCTCGCAAGCGCTAGAAAACCCGCTTTCTGCCGGTGGTTCAAGTGCAGGCTACAGTCGGTGCAACGGAGGGTACAACGGCGTCAGTGCTTCCGTACTGGGGCTGGGAGCGAGTAAAGTGGAGGTGAAGAAGGAGAGGGATGTGGTGATGACGTTTGTGGATGATTTGTTTAGCGTTTGTGTGAACAACTCTGGGAACGGGCCTGGTAGCAGTGGTGGTGGTGCGGGGGGGATATCCTCGGGTATTGGACTTGGACTTGGCGGTATGGGTATGGGGATGATGGGTGGCGAGGAGAGGGAGAGGGAGAGGGGGTGGAGGAGGTGAGGAGAGGGAGAGGGAGGGGGGTGGAGGAGGTGATATGAGGGAGTTGTGAATTTTGCATTCACTGGATGTGTGGACGTAATGGATGTGGATGGCCGATACTGGCTTTGAGGTCTGGTTCTTTCCGTTGGGACAGAGTTGCATTTTGCGTTTGGGATTTTGCTTGAATGGGATTGAAATGGCGATGGAACGGAATGGAACTGGAGGAGTACCTATGAGACATGGAAGGACATGGAAAGCGATGAATGGGAGGAAAAGGAGGAAAAGGGCGGCATGTTTAACGTTCAAAGGATACCCCACCACTTTATAATGTAGATATTTTCTCTTTTATCAATGTATATGCCTCCATGTTTTGCTGTCAAGTCAACTTTTGTTTGGGAGGGTGATGTGCGTGGCGCTGGAGAGAGTTTGGATTGATAGGCTTCAGTTTGGACGGAGCGGGATGTTCGGTGTGCGTGCACAGGAATGGATGGAATGAAAATTTGTTGAATGCTGCAGACGGAAGGCGCATCGGCGGGATGGTTGGCGACGAGCGACAACTGCAGCCACAGGAGAGGGAACAAGCACAGCCACAGAGTCCGTTAGCGGGACAGAATTGAACCTGAAAATGGGATGAAAATTGGAAGGTCCAATGCGCCATACTTCGGAACCGAAGAGTTTCACCTGATGTCCGAAGTGCAAAGAACCAGGTCCATGTGTGGGTCTGGATAGATTGGATATTGGGACTGATGAAGCCCTCGACCAATTGCATAGGACGGAGGGACGGGCCACAAACATTTGATATTCGTGACGGCAGGGACGGAAAGCTGAAAGTGGCAGCTGCAGTTTTCAGGTTGTCAAGATGGTGACGCGGTTGGGGACGACAAGAGTCACAAGACCGAACCTATTTTCCATCTGACAGGCGCCGGAAAGGAGGAAAGGAGCCGCATGCAAACAGCCCAAGTCCAACGCCATCGATATGCCAAATGGATGAGACAAAGTGGAAAGATGAATTTGTCTGCCCCCCAGGTCGAATTCTGATGTTGATGTGTGCCAGGAAAAGTCTTGGCGGGGCTCGCAGCCAGATGCCATCTAGATGTCGACACTCGAGGATAGCGCAGCCACCAGACAGTGTTCATGGCTAAAACATGTGTAAATACGAGAAGCAGCCATGGGATATCATACGTATGCTGTAAAAAGGTTGTCTCTACTGGATTGAGCATCTAAAGGTTGACGATCTGGGACCCATCTTCAGGTTCAGCTTCAACCTTTACCACGTCCGTTTGACACCCGGCAGCAGTGGTGAGAGGTAGTGTCCCAGATTTACTCTGAAAAATGCCATGCCAATGCCCCGTGAATGTTCCTGTCCGCTGTCATGGTGTGACCGAGGCGGGCCCGTCATGGTGGTCTCCCAAGGTGGAGGTGAGTGGGATTTCGAGCTGACCACGTCGCCCAAGACCACCATCGTCAGCAAAAACAACAAGATATTGCCAATTCGAACATGCCAATCCATTGCGCACAGCTCGTAGATGTTGCTCCTCAAATCTCTCGTCAATTGAACCCCGTGCGCGTGCTGTGACCTAGGAGAAGCCAAACCGCATCACCACCCCCCCCCCCTCACTTTTCTCTCACCACTCGTTCCAACTCCCACATCCGGCCTCACCTTTCCATCACCACCCTTCTCGCAAATCGACTTTCTGCGAACCTTCGAATTTTCAACCACCGTCCCAACAATTCCTTGCCATCTTTCCCCACACTGAACCTGTTCACACATTCAATTCCCAGCCACACTCATGGTGTCTGCCAGCCCATGACACCTGGTCCCGACACATGAACATTGGATCAACATTGGTTTGACACTTGCCAGAATTTGCACTGCATCACAGACCAGTTTTGGGGAGTATAATAACCCTTCCAAATCCAGTCTTCCATCAATTCTTCCTCTTGCATTTTCCTCCTATACTACAACGACTTTTGCAAACTTTCGTCGAACTTGCACCCACACAATTTCCGCACCTCTTTTGTACTTGACCAACTCTTCCATCATCCATCAACACTCGTCATCCATCCACAACCTCAACTTCAATCCTTCCTTGTCACCTCTTCCGTGTCAAGGTCACCACCACTCGTCTACACTCGCCTTTTCTCTCCTTTGTCACTTCATCAACCAACAATCATCAAGATGCCTCCCAAGACTGATTCCTCCGAGGTTGGTCCCTTCACCCCGCGTGAGGTCGAGACGCTCGTCAATGCCTTCCTTTGCATGCCCGAGATGCCTGTGGTAAGTTCTTCTCTTTTTCATTTGCTGTCGTCCTCCATCATCACATCTTCCTCGTCCATCATCACCATCATCACCAACATCACGCCTCGCCATCCAGCACAACCATGCATCACCACTCACCTTTCCCTCACCACATTCACCCTACTCTCACTTCATCCTCACCTTCCACCAGCCAACCAACATCAACCCACCTTCTCCATATTGACACACTAATCCCTCCTCACCAGGTCGATTACGTCAAACTCGCCTCTATCCTCGGCATGGCCAACCACCGCTCCGCCTCTAACGCCTGGTCCAACTTAAAGAAGAAGATCGCCGAACACAAGCCGGAAATGTCCCTCCCTCCTCGACCCAAGGCCAAGGGCAAGGCCAACGGCACTGGTGCTACCAAGAAGGCCGCCACTAGCAAGGCTGCCAAGTCTCCCGTTGAGGTCAAGGACGAGTCTGATGCCGATGGCGAGTCTTCCACCGACAACAAGTCCGAGGAACCTGAGGAGAAGAAGCCCGCAGCCAAGAAGCCTGCTGCCAAGAAGACTGCTCCCGCCAAGAAGCCTGCTGCTATCAAGAAGGAAGTAAAGGTCAAGAAGGAGGACACTCCCAGCGAGGAAGAGGAGGTCGAGGAGGAGGATGTCGTCGTCGTCGTCAAGTCCGAGGCAAACAGCGACGCCGACGCCGACGCCAGCGAGGCCGAGACTGCCCCCGAGGAACAAGAGGCCGAGGGCGAGGCTGAGCCAGTCATCATCGCTGCCACCAAGAAACGTGGTCGCTCGGCCAAGGCAACCGAAGCTTCTCCCGCCAAGAAGGCTCGTACTACCGCTGCTGCTGCTGCTGTTACGCCCAAGAAGCCTGCTACCTCGAAGAAGACTGCTGCTCCCCGTGGCAAGACGGCGCAGGCTAAGGCTGCTGCTGCGAAGGCTGCTGAGGAGGCTACCAAGGTTAAGCAGGAGGACGAGGACAGCGGGTTGGACATGGAAGATGTCGGTGATGAGATCAAGGTCAAGACTGAGGACAAGGATGATGAGGACGAGGACGAGGAGATGGGATCAAGCGACAAGGAAGCGGAGGCAGGCAACAGTTCGGAGATTGAGGCTGCTGAGCAATTGAAGCGGGAGCAGGATGATGATACCGCCGAGGGCGAGATTTGAGTTTTCGATCTTTCTGGCTTCTGGGTTTTGACATCGGGCATCAGCATCAGAATTATAGCATTAGCGTGGGAATCGGGAATTGGGCATCGGGACCTAGTATCGGCCACATCATAGCGAGCGAAGGGTTATCAGTTCGGTTCGGGTTTCTGCCATGGCAAGCAGCAAGATGTATCTGGGAAAAAGTTAGGGAGGATTGACGGTACTTCCTGTCTCTGATACTTCATTCTTGTTGCGGAGTTGCAACGGAACGGTACAACAAAAAGGGCGTGGATTGGAGTTCGCGGGTCATGTTTCGTCTCGGTTTTCTTCCATTGCTTTGATACCCTTCTTTCATTCAGTCATTCAGTCATTCAGTCATTCAGTCATTCAGTCATTCAGTCATTCAGTCATTCAGTCATTCAGTCATTCAGTCATTCAGTCATCCAGTCAGTCTTTTCTTTATCAACCAGTCACTCATTTCGGGTTTTCATGGCTCGGAACTATAGCATATATTAGCATGGCGCTTAATTACAGTCAAAAACATGTGACCCATCCTGCATCGTTTGGTGTTGCGCTCGAGAAATGAGAAATGACGAGACGCCTCCACTCAACATGTCTTACCTTTTTTTTTGACCAAAATCTTTGAAGCTTGAGACTGACCTTGTCCCATCCTTTCTTTGTCCACCATTTGCAACGCCATTCCAATCTGAACCAGAATCATCGAAAAGGTCTCCAGGAAGCGCATCCAACAAACATCACCTCACCACTCGACAAGCGCAAACACATATAACCCGTCCATTCAACCACCCGTTCGCTCCCAACTCCCAGTTCACATTGATCAGTTCTAAACATCCGTTCCACTTTCACTACCAGCCCGTCAAAAAGCCGCAAAGTCCAAACATCTTGCCAACTGCCTCCCGTCCCCACTTGAACCGTGACGCCAACAAAAGCGCAAGCAACCAAAACCAAAATGTGCCACCGCATCATCCGCACCATCTGCCCCTCCTGCCTCCGCCCAGCCGCTTACCCCCAGCGCCACCGACTCGATCAATGCTTTCCTCCCAAAATCTACACGGGATGGGCGCCCGCAACCGCCATGTACGAGAAGCACCGGGCGGAAGAGGAGACGATTCCCGAGGTGTGCCATCGTTGTCGATATGCTCGGGGGTGGTGGACGTGGCTTGATGGAGGTAAAGGTGAAGGTGAAGAAGATGAGAGCGTGGGAAGGGAGCAGGGAAACAAGAGAGTAGAGGACTTGGAGGCGAAAGCTGAGGTAAAAAACGGAAGGGCAAGGTGAAGGGGAAAGGGGAGAAAGAAGAAAGTGAATGTAAAGAACGTGGAGTGGAGCATGGAAATGCCCTTAGAGGTGGAGGAGAGCGTGGGTCAGAAGAAGGGAATCGTCAAGGAAGTGCCCCTGGAAGTGGAAGTGGAAGAGAAGAAAGTGCCCCTGTCCAAGAAGGGGAAGAGGAAGGCGGGAGAGGATCTTGATGTGGAGCTGCTAGTAGGGGTCGAAACCAAGAGGCGGCGGTTTCCGTAAGAGATCTGGACAGAGGGAGGAAAACAGACAAGAAATGGAAACCGTCATGTGTCAATGTTCTCTGTTAGGTTGGGCAGGGTCGTAATCACCCATTCCTGCCATCCCGTCTCTTCCAGTGCTCTGATGCAGAGGGTTGGGACCCTGTCTTATAAAAGGAAGGTTGTCAGACCTCGCCCAACTCATTTTCTGTCAAGTTCAAGTTAGCTCAGTTGGATTCATCATCATCATCAGATTCCATCATCGGTTCATCATATGTATCATCCAGACTCACGACCACAGGACCCCGGACCCCTCTGTAATTTACAGTGATTACAGCACCCCTGCACTAACACAGCACCCCACACAAGGCCCCTGTCCCCTCTGCCGACACCCGAAAAGGATTGCACCAATCGGCATAATAAAGCCTTGACGACACTCCATTCTCAGACAAGTTCACGATGGCCGCCGATACCCCCCTTCCAACAATCGAAGGCGACCCGATGGAAGGAGTCGAACAAGCTCGGATCATGGGCCCAACCCTCCTTGACGTGGTTAAGGACTGCGACAAGTGAGTCATCCACTGAGTGAGTGAGTGACCACGGCTAACCACCATGACAGCTTCCCCTACCCCTGCCACCCAGGCCGCCCTCACCTCCAAACCGAGTCGTCCCACTCCCACTCCAGCCCTGTCTCGAGCGCGGCCACCGTCTGCTGCTCCCGCGACACCAGCCTCGCCCTCGGCTCCGGCTCCACCTCCGGCAGCCCATCGTCACCACCAGGTCCAGCCCCCTCAACCTCAGGCGCTGACAAAACGGCCGCTGTGGACCTATACTGGGACCAATGGATGCCCGAAGCCGACTGTCCAGACCCCTACTCCCACTTCCTTAACAACCTTTGGACCTTTCACCTCCCCCATGATCCCTGCGCCCACGGTCTGATTTCGAGCCAGATCGTCGACCACCTGCGCGACCACGACCTTTGGACTGAGCACTTTTCTCTGGACCGCGACTCTAAATCTATCCACCTGCTCGCTCCCTCTGCCCAAGACTTGTTGCCCCAGGACAACGGCGACTGGCAGACAGCTTGCTCGCGCATCCTAGACGAGCAGATTGAGCTTTGGCGACGGACAAGTATGCTAGGAAGGGAAATCCTGGGACCCAAGAAGAAGGGCGAACAATTCCCCATAGTTGGAGCCAAGTTCGATGTCGGCGTGGATCGCTCGGCGATTGGATTGCTGGGTATGATAGGGCGGGGTGCGCACATGACTGTTTACTCTCGCCGCTCCCGCTCCAGCTCCAGCTCCTCTGATACAAATGGACATGGACATGGACAACAGCCAGAGGATGAATACTTGTTCTGGATCCCCCGCCGCTCCCGCAACAAGTCAACCTACCCCGGCAAACTGGACCAAGCAGTTGCAGGCGGCGTGGCGCGCGGCGAATCGCCATGGAAATGTATAATTCGGGAAGCGGTCGAGGAGGCCGGGTCGGCTTTATCCGACGGCTTTGTGCGCAGAAACGCCAAAGCAGCAGGGACAGTGACCTGGCTCAACTTCTCCGACGAGCGCGCCGGGCCGGGACAGAAAGGACTCATCAACCCGGGTGTGCTGTACGTCTATGACTTGGAACTACCCGATGAAGGGAGAGGTTTCGAGTTTGAGGCGGTGCCCGGGGATATTGAGGGTTGGAGCATCATGACCACGAACCAGGTCATGGACGCTATGAAGAGGTTTGAGTTTAAGCCGAGTTGTGCGGTGGTGATGATTGATTTCTTTGTGAGACATGGGGTGATTACGGCGGAGAATGAGCCGGATTATGTCCAGATTGTGAGTCGCTTGCATCGGTTGTTGCCTTTTCCGACGAGCTCGAGGACGGAGGACTAGAAGGGTCTCTTTTGTGCTTCGAAGCACCAGGAATGGGGTGTACAGGTTTAGCCAACAGAGTGATGGAGTGTGTCGGGACGGGAAGAAGGGGGAAAGAACATTGCTTGCGGATATGAAGGATTATCAATCAACAATAGCGAAACAACGAACGGGAGAGACATGGGTGCTAGAACTGGAAATTGGAACAGGGGCATTAGAATATTCACATTGACAGGAACAAAAGCCAAACAGAAAGAAATATCAAAAAAAGACCAGAAGTACCACAAGAAATACTTAGAACCGCATCACAGAGTCTTCCATACTTGCCGAGCACCCTGAGGGATGCCGGCATTGCTGCTGCCGGTGACTGATCACTTGAGACTTGAAATTTGAAATACCAACGAGAAACACCCAAAAAGTCAATGCGTGCGAGAGCAATGAAGTGCTTGCTAGCTTGATGATGTTGAATCTGTCAAAATACTGTCACTCCCCACCCATTTTTACTGCACTGTTGGGGGTGACAGTATTTTTTGACTGTCAGTTTACCTCAGGTACAGCTAGGTGGTGTCTTCTCAATTTCATGTTGATGGCACTCACTCACTCACTCATAATTTGGAATCTCCACTGGCTACTATTGTCAACACCGGTAGGTATCAAGGATACATTAGGTAGGTAGGTACATATACTACTGTCGCACATTTCTATACTGGGTGGTCCAGTGCAGTGCAGTGCAATTTCCTCTCTCTCTCTTTTCCTCTTTCACTGCCCGACACGACCGCAACTTCTTTACCTTGCCCGTATCAAACGGGAACAGCCAGTGCCTCTCTTCTTTTGTTCGACCTTCCTTGTGTTGGTGCATACCTCTACCTCTACCTCTACAATCTATGGTTTTACTACCCTTTTACCGCCCTTTTGCGGGCCCCCTTTTCCACTCCCTTTTCCAGTCATCTTCCCGCCGTTCCAATGCAACTGGAATCTTTCCAACCAGTCCCGTTCCTGTTCCCAAAAGCGTTCCTGAACAAGGCCGGTAGTTGTGTCGCAGAAACACGATGGAATATAAGTACCTAGCTATGTGTCGAATGACACTCGATGCGAGGTGTGTCCAAGAATACACAACGCGAGCTATTCCCCTCACCATCACTCACAGACCAGCAATCAGAACAATCAGAACGCGAAGCCAATTCCTTTGTTTTATTTTATTCGTTAGATAAGATGAAACTCCTTTATCATGCACAGTCTGTCTCGTCGTCTAGTCGTCATTCTATCGCCCAGTGCCCAATTCCCAATTCCCAATTCCCAATTCCCACTTGCCACTGTCACCAGTGGTGTTGTCTCGGGAGATGTTCGTGTATCCAAAGAGGTAGCAACCATTCGTAATCCGTCCGTCATAAACCTTTCAAACTTGCTGATCTAAACCACAATGTCAGCCCGGGGGCTTAGTCCGCGCGCCTTGTCCGTCCCCGTTCCCACCTCCTCTGGAATCCGATGCCGTGGCGCCTAAGCATCCGTCCTCCTCAGCATAGCTATTGGGTCCTGTTAGCATCATCCCGCACCTATTCTTTGATCTCCATCTCCACGGACAGCCAGGGCACTTACCAACAGTAAAATCAACCTCTGCGGGCGTGATACTCCCACTAGTCGGATCAGAACTAGTATTCCCCCCTTGGGCGGACGTAGTCGACAAGTGTGAATACCCGCGCTGGTGCATTCCCGGCCTCATCACTCCTCCCGGTCCTCCACCTCCAAATCCCTGCCCCGGTTGTCCCAGTCCCTGCCCCATCCCCTGCCCGTGTCCTTGACTTAAAGCGTGCCCCTGAGCAGCCTCTGCGCGTTTACTCAACTTCCCCTCCCTCTTCACCTCCCTCCGATCCTTCCTAGTAAAGTGCATCTCCCGCTTAATCTGCTCTTCAACCTTAGGCACCAAATTCCCCAACACGGTACCCAAAAGCGAAACATTCTCTGCGTCGCGGGGGACAATGTGGCCCAAGCCATGATCGTACATGACCGCGCTGCGGGGATCGCAGACGTTGAAGAGGGCTACCGCCGAAGAAAGAAATGCGTCGTCGCACCCGAAAATGTGCAGAGTAGGAATGTCGATGACGGTGCCGACTTCGTCAAAGAGTTGCGCTGTGATACGCTTGTTGCCTTCGAATTTAAGGGGCGGGGCGCCGGCTATGAAGATGCCGAACTTTTTTTTTTGGTCGCCCGACCTTTTCGTCAGTTTTTGTCTTCTGATGTCTGCAATGAGAGTAATGAATGGGTGTAGCGAACCTTAATCCTCCTCTCCCGTCCCTTTTCCCTCAAACACCGCTCCTTCTCCTCGACAATCGCGCTAGCAGCTACCATTGCGCCCTCGCTGTATCCAATAATGGCGTTGATCTCCGGGTCTTCGTCCAGCGTCTTGAATACCCCGTCCAAAGCCTGGCGCCAGGCTTCCTGGTGCCAGTCCTCTTCTACGGTTGCGCCCTGTAGCTGGCGCATGGTGTCTTCGGGGTTCAGCCCGCGCGGCACATGGCGCAGCCTGCGCAAAGTCTCAAAGGCATCGCCGTTGGATACGTCGAGGAAGCGGTAGAGGGGCGGTTTGCCAAAGTAATCTTCCCAGCCGGGCGGAGGGGCGACTTCGTGCGTGCCTTGGGAGTAGGCGAATGAGCCGAGACCGCGGCGCTTGAATTCCTCGGCGAGAGGACCGAATTGGACTTCGAAGTTCTGTGGAGCGGGAAGGGGAAGGGATGCGTCAGTCTTTGATGGCGGATAGGAGCAAGGGGTTGTGACCACGCAGGGGGATGCATTTGGACGACCATTCAGTGTATGTGTGGAATAGGGTATTGCAGTTTGCAGGATGTCCCGGAATCAGGGGAGAACCCGCAAGATTGGAACACGATTGAAGGGTTATTAGAGAATAAAATGCACAAAAAAAAGGATACTCGTGGATTTACGAACCTGTGCGCTGCCATAGGCACCAGGGAGGCAAAGAAACTTCATTCTTCCTGCTTATCTTGTCTCGTGAATGTGCTGTTTTCCCTTCCCGTCTGTCCGTCCGTCTTCCGGCACACCTAACTAGCGTTCGTCGAAGTTTAACCGCGTTTATCCTAGAACAAAGAACCGCATCGGTTGGTGGCCAGCCACAAGAAAGGAATCGTAGAGTAGGTGCTGTTGTCGTACTGGTGAGGGGTAGAGGATATCTTTGAAACCTCTGACCGTTGCCGACCTATTGTTGCTGTTGTCCAGGCCGCCATTATTATGTTCTTTTGAGGCTGTGTTGTTCTTGGGCATGTCTCGGCACTCATATGATTCTGAAGTCACCATTTCCCCGGTTCCGTCACTCAAAAAAAGTATAGGGGCTGCTTTGGATGATAGGCTGTTTCCGTCATCTTGATGCTACCTTTATGGGGAATTTCATTCACCGATGTAAGAGTTTGTCCCACTAATGTGAGTAAGAGACTGTACGGATTCCTGGTCGTGCACTAGTCCCCCAGAGCCCTCAAGCCCAGGGACCCCAGGGGCACTCAATGATCTTTTTACGAGATACCCGCAAAACCCGAGATCATACGGTGGGATGAGTCGTGGGCTGATCACCACTTCAAGGGTAAATCCCTAGGCCCATTATTGGCGGACGTTGCAAGCTTGTCTGTACTGCTTGCTATCCTTGGTCGGTCTGATAACCTGTCGTTGGTTTACCTGTGTCGAGGAGGAGATGGAAGCCCAAATGGAATTTCTTTGACCGACAAAAACAGCGAATTTTCTTTCCACTGACATTTTTCCTGCGGCCCTTGGGGTCCTTTTTCGTCACGGCGTGCTTGCTATGGAAGCAGGTTATGCTTGAAAGTTGATGGACATATGGATCGGTTGCATTCAGAGGCTCTGAATGGTCAATGGACCTGCTTCATTGTGTCGAGATGCGAAAGTCTGCACTGAACTGCATCTGTATGCAGGACCATTCACGTCCTGAGGAGATGATTGGCGAATGCGATGATGTCTGATCCATGTACAAGTAGAGAAGCAGGCAAATGTGGTGATAGGGGCGACGGAGAGCGCGTCGGCGTCGGGTGGCAAGGTGGAGGGTGACGGTCAATTTGGCGGCTTTTCGACAGTCGGACGGTTTTGACGTGGTACTCAACGTGACTGTGGTCTAATGAGGAGACTTCCAAAGTTCAAAAGGAGACAAAGGGGACGACAGAATTGTGCCTGACATAGGGATGCAAGGAGGGCAGCCGGCAGTGCGGTACCTTATGCAAGCGTGGTAAGCACCGTGACGTAGTCCGGAGTCATCGGAAATCAACGCGAGGCAGGAGAGGGTTTAAGGTAAGACGCTATCAAGAACCCGAGATGCACCGAAGCGAAAGGAAATCATTCGAGACAGACAGGTCGTCCCTCGCCTTCATGAACCGGTCGTTGATCAGGCAAGAACCAGGACACGATTTCGAAGCAGACAGGTTTCTGGGGCTTCTTGTGTCGGGAAGGGATCAACTTGAAGTCGACTCACGCGGAAATGTTTTTTGGAGTGTCTGCAGCACTTGTCAGAGGTCAGTTGCGAGAGCGATTGGCTCCGGACATTTCGGAGGGTAACGGTCATATCATATCGGATCGTCGCCCGAAGAGATTGCATTGCAAGCCAGCAGGCAAGGGGAGGACTTGTGCTCGGTCTGAGAGCATTGAATGTCCGAAACTCCGACACTCACTACCTGAGGAATCTGCACACAGGCTGCATGTCCCCATGAACTGCTTTATTCATAAGCTCCTGCTTGAACCTGCCCTTCTCATTTATTGTCCCAATGTGCTCGCGATGCCACCGCGAGAAGGGAGCTCCTCGGAAATGGAAAAATCTGAGGGCCGAACGCCAAAAGCCGTGGGCCGGCTCGAGACGAATGAGAATGGCATGAAGTGGATGACATGACCTTGGTTTGCGTGGTGGCTTGCCTGACTCTGCGTCCGCTGGATCCCCGAATTTGGTCTTCATGTCTGGACATTTTCTTGCCTTCTTGCTTTCTCCAACAGCTCGGAGATAAGTGTGGCGATCAAGATCCAGCTAAAGCGACGAAAGGATTTGAAGGGGGCAGTTGTCGTGATTGAAACTACATGCAGGGATCAGTGATGTCTTTGTCGCTTGCTTCGCTGTCCCTGGTTGGTGGCTTGTGGTTCTCCGTTGAGTTGAAGGGTCGGTCCCATAGAAAATCCATGAACGATAGCAAATCCGTGAAGCCGTGCCAGTTCGGTCCAATCCTGCCACTCCATGCTGCAGTCCGGCGGCGGTAGCCATTCCATATGCACAGTTGCCGCAGACATATGACGACCCTCACTTAGCGCCGGCGTGATCCCGACAGTCCGTCACCTGTCTGTTGACTTACCCTTAACCGCCCCAGAACGCCTTTGCGTGGCTGTTCCCGTGGCTGTCAACTTAAAAGAACTGACCCTCAAGACTCACCCACTTACCTCATTTCCTACCTAGATGATTAGCAAAGCCTCATCTTTGACAGACGAGGAGACCATCCATCCAACTGGCCGCCGACATCTCGACATCTTGATCCATCCAGCCACTCCATCACAATATTAACAGTGTCGCTGATGGTCGTCCCTGTCGCTCTCCTCGGCACTCGTTAAAGGCTTTCTTCTTCATCCACCATCTCATTTCAGTCCCTCTGACTTTCATATTCACTTTCTCCCTCACATCATTCACCATCTCCAACATTCCAAGCGATTTGTCATCATAAACCGATCAATATGGCAACACACGACTCCCAACCCGATCCATCCGCTGGTCCATCCGCCGGTCCATCCGCCGGACCGGCCCCGCCACCCAGCCAACAAGCCCCCGGCGCACCCGCCCCAGTAGCAATAGTAGGCATGTCCTGCCGCTTGCCAGGAGACGTCTCAACACCAGGCGAATTCTACCGAATGATGTGTCGCGGTAGATCAGGCTGGTCCAAGATTCCCAAAGACCGGTTCAACCAGGAAGCGTATAACCACCCGAATCCGGACAAAAAGGGGACGTTCAACTCGCAGGGCGGGTACTTTATCAAGCAGGACTTGAGCGGGTTCGACGCGGCGTTTTTCGATGTCACGAGGCGGGAGGCTGAGGCTATGGGTTAGTACTTACCTTTCTGGTTTTGCGTTAGTTGAGGGGGAAAAGGGGAAGACGGCTAACAAAAGCGAAACAGACCCAGCCCAACGCCTCCTAATGGAATGTACCTACGAAGCGCTCGAAAACGGTGGAATCCCGCGTGAGCGCATCGCCGGCACCCGCACGGGCGTCTTCATCGGCGGCAACTACGGCGAGCACCGAATGTCGCACATGCGGGACCTCGACACCATGCCCTCCTTCGACGCCACGGGTAACCAGCCGGCTTTCCTGTCGGGGCGATTAGCCTATTACTTCAACCTGCACGGCCCGACCTTCACCGTCGACACGGCCTGTTCGTCCTCTTTGCACGCTCTGCATCTTGCCGTCCAGTCCATCCGCAACGGCGACTCCGAGGCGGCAGTCGTGGGCGCGAGCAACATTATCACTCAGCCGGATGTGTGGGTGTCCATGTCCATGCTTCGGTTGTTCTCCGACGCGGGAAAGACGTACGCCTTTGATCAAAGAGCCAAGTCTGGCTATGCACGCGGAGAGGGCTGTGCGGTGATCGTTTTGAAGCCAGTCGCGCAGGCGCTCAAAGACAACGACCACATTTTTTCTGTGATTACCCACAGCGGCATCTCGCACAATGGGCGCACGGTGGGTATCGTCGCGCCTTCGCCGGACGAACAGGAACAGCTGTTGCGGGACGTCTTCACAGCCGCCAAGATCAACCCCCGCGAAGTCGGTTTTTTCGAAGCCCACGGCACGGGAACCAAGAAGGGCGATCCAATTGAAGCCACAGCCATATATAACGCCGTCGGTAAGCATTTCACCAAGGATGAACCGCTGTATATCGGCAGCAGCAAGCCGAATGTTGGACATCTCGAGTGCGCGAGCGGCCTGGTGTCGGTTATCAAGGGGGTGCTGTCGCTTTATTACGGGTTCATCCTCCCCAACGCGGATTTCGACAAGGAAAACCCCGAGATTCCTTTCCAGAAATGGAACATGGTGGTCGCCAAACAGCAGAAGCCATGGCCGACCAACAAGAAATATGCATGTGTCAATAACTTTGGGTTTTCCGGAAGTAATTCGACGTGTATCTTGTCCAGGCCACCAGTCCATCGCAAAATCGAGCTGGGCGAGCACGGCGCGTACACCACTCCGAGACTCTTCGTGCTGTCGGCCAACGACGAGCAGGCTCTGAGGACAAGTATCAAGGAATTAGGTATCTGGCTGGAGCAGCATGCCGAACTGTACCAGACCACCATGCCGCGGAATCTGGCGTATACGCTCTGCCAGCGAAGGTCGCATTTCCCATGGAGGGTATCGGTCGTCGAGACGATTTGTTCCGGTCTTGCGGGATCGCTAAATGGACACGATCTGACTCCCATGCGCGCTTCATCGGAACAGCCCCGTCTGGCATTCATCTTCACCGGCCAAGGAGCGCAATGGTATGCCATGGGCCGCGAGCTCTTGCAGACTCATCCCGTTTACCTCGACTCCATCAAGCGTGCCGATGAAGCTTTGCGAAAGGTGGGTGCCGAGTTCTCCATTTACGAAGAACTCACGCGGGACAAGGAGACGACCAAAGTAGGACAGGCGCACGTCTCCCAGCCCATCTGCTCCGCTGTGCAGTTGGCGTTGGTAGACCTGCTGGACTCGTTCGGCATCAAGCCCGGCGCTGTCACCGGCCACTCCTCCGGCGAGATCGGTGCCGCGTACGCAGCTGGCGCGCTAAGCTTCGAGGGAGCCATGGAGGCCGCCTACTACCGCGGCCAAATGATTGTCGAGTTGAAGAAGGCGCACCCCGAGCTCAAAGGCTCCATGCTTGCCGTGGGCTCAGGTGCCGTAGACTGCGAGCCTCTTCTCCAGCAGATCAACACCTCGGAGTCCAAAGCGGTAGTGGCCTGCGAAAACTCGCCTTCGTCCACCACCATCTCGGGTGACGAAGCCGCCATCGACCGGGTTGCCGAGCTGTTCCAAAAGAAGGGCACCTTCAACCGCAAGCTCTTCGTCGACGTCGCCTACCACTCCCCGCACATGGCCTTGATCGCCGAAAAATACCTCCAAGCCGTCTCGCACATCCAGCCGCCTGATTCGCGCGCCTCTTCGACCGTGGAGTTTTACTCGTCCTTGCACGCCCGCCGCCTATCCTCCCTCTCGGAGTTGGGGCCGTCTTACTGGGTCAACAACCTCACGCAGCCCGTCCGCTTTTCCACAGCGCTGCAACACCTCATCTCCGGCTTCCGGCCCGATATCCTGCTCGAAGTCGGTCCCCATGCGGCGTTGAAAGGACCGATCATGCAAACCATCAAGCACCTCTCTTCTCCTTCCCGCGACACTTCTCCTTCTACCTCCAAGCCATCCTCCGGGACTTCTTCCCCAAACGCTGCCAACGTAGCTGCAACAGCCACCAAGCTCACCTACCTATCCGTCCTCGACCGCTCCAAGTCCGCCGCGCAATCCGCCCTCGAAGCCACTGGCGCTCTCTTCACGCGGGGCTATCAGGGGATAGATTGGTTCAATGTCAACCACAACCGGGAGGAGTACGAGCGTCCGGACTTGGTCGCGGGTTTGTACAGCTATCCATGGACTCGGCAGTCGTATTGGTCCGAAAGCAGGATTGCGAGGCAGCATCGGTTGAAGCCATTCCCGAGACACGATTTACTGGGCGTCCTGGCAGATTGGAGCTCAGATATTGAGCCTACTTGGAGGAATATCTTGAGCGCAAGGGATCTACCTTGGTTGAAGGAGTATGCTGTCCAAGGCCAGGGTCAAAGACGCAGGATGGTCTTCCCAGCGTCAGGAATTATGTCCATGGTTGTCGAGGCGGCAGGGCAGCTGCATTTGATGCGACGTGAGGGAGACGTTGCGGCGCCGGAGGCGAGCAAGTTTGAGGTCAAAAACCTGAGAGTGGATGAGCAGTTGTGGTTGGAGGACGAAGACAAGGAGTACGAGGTGCTGCTCACCATCCGACCTGGCGATGACACTGGCCAGCCAGATGCCTTCCGAATCAGCTCGTTTGAGCAGAGTCGTGGATGGCAAGAGCATTGCACGGGTTTCGTCAGGGCTGACTCTGCCTCGCCTGTCCGTCGCCAGCCTCTCGGTTTATCAAGGGCAAGGGACCAGTCCCATTCCAAGACCGTGACTTTTGACGACGACGACGCTGTCTCCTCTGCCTCCTCCTTGGACGGACAGTCCGATTCCGCATCCGGCTCTTCATCCCCCAAGCCAGCTTCTTCTTCGGCCTCGGACAGCGGCTTCATGAACGTCGAAGTAGACGGGTCAGCAGGCCAAGCCCAAGGCTCAACAACCCCCGAGACACCTCCCTGCTCTGGTCACAGCACCTCCGCCTTCCCTTCCCTCGACAAGAAGAAGCTCGAACAAAAGCTTGAGCACGCCAAGTCCGGTACACAGCCGCACCATAATCTCGCGCTTCACTCAACCGAGACCATCTACAGTCACCTCGCTTCTTCCGTCGGTGCTCAATATCCCAACGAATTCAAGACTCTGACGGAGGTGACCGCGAATGAAAACACCGCCGCGGCCAACTGTGTGGTGAGAGAAACCAAGACGGAGATGCCGTTCCAGCATGAGACCGGTTTCAAAATTCACCCGGCAGTTTTGGACGAGTTGTTGCAGCTCCCCTTGCTGAGTTTGAGTGCCGGTGGTGGACATGACAAGGCCACTGGAACGTCGTACTTGCCGGCAGCAATCAGGCATTTGACCATCAATTCACGGTTGAAGAGGAAGCCTGGTCAAACCTTCTGCGCTCATTCTAACATAGAGGACAGCAGCAGCAAGGGTGATGAAACAAGTTTCATGATCGAAGCCTTTGCTTCCCCAGGCTCCGCGACCGCGGCCATCTCGATCGCTGGGTTGCAGTTTGAGACTCTGGAAGCCGCAAAGGAAGAAAGTGGTGGGCCGAGGGAGTTGTGTTTCCAGGTGAGATGGGAGGAGTTGAAGCCTGAAAAGGGGACCGACGCCGAAAAGAACAATAATAACAAGGCCGATAACAATGCCAAGAATAAAGAGTCCAAGGACAAGCACACTCATAACATAGCAGTCGTTACCGAAGCGCCCAACCCCAACGCATCTCCACTGATCAAAGCTGTCTATAACCAGATTGAGCAGCAGACGGGGAAGCAGCCACGGATCTCTTCTTTGCAAAAGATCACTGACTTTACCAACACCTCCTTCCTTGTTCTCTCCGAACTCGACGAGCCTCTCGTCAGCTCACTCACCAATAAGAACTCAGCTGCAGAAAAACAACTGGAACAGATTAAGAGGCTTTTGACCACATCGCCGGGCCTGCTTTGGGTAACCCGCGGCGCAACCCGCTTCCCAACCTCCCCAAATTCTAACATGGCTCTGGGTCTGTTGAGGACGGCGAGGAGTGAAGCTTCAGCGGTTGCTGCCGCATTGGATTTGGATCCTCAATCGAGACTTTCTGCTGAGCAGCAGGCCAACCTGGTGCTCCAGGCGTTCAACCACTCTATCCTCTCATCCCCTTCTGTCGCAAACGACGAGAGCGATCCTGAAAGCGCCGAACTGGAGTTTGCGGAGGAGCAGGGCAAGTTATACGTCCCAAGGTTGGAACCTGATCAGCAGCTCAACCTCGAAATCTCCCGCGAACTCGGTCCTTCCATCCCATACACACAGTCTTTCCACCAAGACTCTCCCGAGCTCAACGGGCTGCGGCAACTAGAACTTGCCCCCAGTCAGGAACCCAAGGGTGAGTTGGATAACCTCTACTTCGAAGACCGCCCCGAGACAGTCTTGAGAGACGACGAGGTAGAGATCCTGGTGGCGGCAAGCGCAATCACGCTTGATGACGTCGACTACATCCAGAAGGGCGCCTCCAACCGTCACAGCATCGCGAGGGGCTGTTCTGGCACCGTCTCCCGTGTTGGTAAGGGGGTACATGAGGTCGCTATCGGCACCCACGTCTGTGCTCTAGCGGAAGGTCGGTTCGGCACGCACGCCCGAGCAAAGGTGACCAGCGTGGTGCCGATGAGCAGCAGCTTGACCCCTGAGGTGGGCGCTGGGGTTCCTATTTATGTCGCTCGCGCGTACTACGCCCTGGTCACCATCGCCCATGTCAAGGAAGGCAATAACCTGTTAATTCAGCTGTCCGGGCCATCGAGCGTCGCGGCAGTGGAGGTTGCCAAGACTTTGGGCGCCGATACGTGGGTGTACGTCACCGGCGACGTCGAAACTGAAGCGGCACGGAAGTTGGGCTTTTCGGAAGAGAGGGTGTTGGACGAGCGAAGCATCTACCTCCGACGAAAGCTGGATGAAGCCACGGGTGGAAAAGGATTTGATGTGGTCTTGACCGTGTCGGGTGGCAGGAATGAAGGCGAAAATAAAGCGTGGCAATGTCTGGCTGACTTTGGTCGGTTGATCGAGATCAGAGAATCTGGGACGCAAAGCTCGAGGCCACAGTTGGGCGCCAATGCATCGTTTGTCAGTATCGACATGGTCAGCTTGGCCGAGGGCAGGCCGAAATTGATGCAAAAGACTCTAGTGGATGTCATGCAAAAGCTGGAGAAGGGGGTGTTCCAGCCGCCAACCAAGACGCATGTTTACAAGGTGTCTGAACTACCCCGTGCGCTGGAGTGGGTGAGAGGGGCCGTGACGGTGCACCCTGTTATGGTGGCCGCTGGAGGGAAAGATCAAGTCAAGGTATGTCATCTGGAAGAGGTTGTCAGTTTAGGCAAGTTGACTAACAAGTAACAGGCAACATACCGCAAGTCGAGGGGTATCTTCCGAAGAGACGGTACTCATATCATCATCGGTGGCACGGGCGGCCTCGGTCGATCGATGGCCAAGTACATGGCTGAGCATGGTGCCCATAACATTGTCCTGCTGTCGAGAAGTGGCGGAGGAAAGGAGATGGTTGAGCAGCTGGAGAAGGAGATTGGCTGCCCAGATCTGAATATCCGGGTGACGAAGTGCGATGCCAGCGATGAAAGGCAAGTGCGCGAGTTGGTGAAAGACTGCGCGCGAGATATGCCGAGTATTTGTGGCGTCATCCACGCCGCCATGGTTTTGAGGGTATGTGCCCCGTCCCTATTTCCCCTGTGCGACAGCCCAGCTAACAGCACGCAAAGGACGTCCTCCTTGAAAGCATGTCCTTCACCGACTTCAGCCAAGTCATCCAACCCAAGTTCGCCGGCGCCTGGAACGTGCACAACGTGCTCTCCGACACGGGTGCCAACCTCGACTACTTTGTCGTTCTCTCCTCTGCCGCTGGCATCCTCGGGTCTCGCGGCCAAGGCGCCTACGCAGCAGCCAATACGTTCCTCGACTCCTTTGTGCAGTACCGGGTCCGCAACGGTCTCCCAGGCACCTCTCTCGACCTCACAGCCGTCACCGATGCCGGGTACCTTGCCGAGAACGCTGAGCGACAGGAAGACATCATGCGCAACTTTGGCAACGAAACCGTTTCGGAGCAGGAAGTGCTCGCCTTGTTGTCTGCTGCGGTCCGCGGTGTCAGTCCGCCCCAAGTGCTCACCGGCCTCAAGCTACACCTCCAGTCTGATGGGTCATGGCCGTACTATGCCTCGGACGCGCGCTTCAGTCAACTCAAAGCCGACTCTCTGGCAGCGGCTGAGCGTGAAGGCCTCGTTCCCAAGGCGGCAGCATCACCGGGTAATGCCTTCCGGGCAGCCAAGACGGACGAGGAAGCGATTGCCATTGCGGGCCAGGGCATTCTCCAGAAGCTGTCGGATGTGTTGACGATTGACGTGGCGAACCTGGATGCGACAAGGAACATTACGAGTTATGGCCTAGACTCCTTGACGGCGATTGAGCTGCGGAACTGGATTGCGAAGGAGTTGAGGGCGAACTTGCAGATTTTGGAGTTGTTGAGCAGTGGGACGGTGAATGATTTGGCGGCGATTATTGTACAAAAGACGAGGGCCGGGACATAGCTGTATGAAGGGGACATGGATTGTATGATGGAGAAGGCGTATTGCACTGGGTTGGCGCATGTTTCGTTTTGGTCTAGGGACTTTGGATACATTGAGGTTCTTGGAATTGTTGTTGTATCGTATGTCATAGGGGAACATTTCAAGATACCAGAAATAGAATGTTGATCTGGTTCTCCATGTGTTGATTCAGGAGGAAGAAGTGGAAGTCATGAGGTTCGCTCCGAGGTTCTGGACGGAAACCACTATGTCGACCATGGGTGTTTGTTTGCTCTGGCCATCGTGATGAGCAACTGAGAATACAAACTAGAAGAAGGAAATGTTCCGCCTGCATGAAAAGTAAAGACAAATAAAACTCAGGGGAAGCACTTTGGAATTGCTTTGGCCATTGGTGTTTATGGACCTGACAATTGTGATGAACGTCGGTTGTACACCGAGAATGATGGAAAAGATGGCCTTGATCGAGTGCCTTTCTGGAGGAAAGGAAGAGGAAACCATGGTGCTCCGCCTGGAAGAGAAACATGATGAAAAGACAAGGCAAGCACTCTGAAGTTGGGTTGGCCACGACTGCCAGAGCATGCATTGAGAGGAGAGGTAATTCAGTCTGATATGGTCGGGGAAGTGTCAAGTGGATGAGAAACTGATGTGATAAGACTTCCGGTCGACAAGACGGCAAAGTCGCAACCAACGGAGATGCCGAGTGTCGACAGGAGGTTGACCAGAGAAAGTTGTCATGGAGAACGATGGAGTTGGAGAAGCAAACAGCCACGGGCATGACACCCGAGAATGCACAGACCATGTAAGGTGTCCCTGGCAGTCTGTTAGTGAAGTTTCCCTGTCTCTACCATGTTTCGCCGCTACGGCAGTCAATCGGCTAACACTACCACATTTCTCGGATCTCTCCGATGACCCCGCCAATCCTTGGGTACGTACCTTTTTTGCTGTCAACGGTCTGTGGAACTTCCTCCGACCAAGCAAAACACAGAACAGCCAAATCACGAGCAATGGGACGACAACACAAAATGCACGACCCAAGCGCCCAAGAACAAACGACCCATCTGAAACATGGAATTCAGTTGTGCCCAATTATTTTCGTTTTTGGGTGTCGACAACATTTCTTGGAGGTGGTGACCTAGGTCTTGAGGACGGGACCAGAGGACCAGAGGCCGCCGTCAAGGTTTCAGAGGCAACTCCATAACAATATCCACTGTTGTCCGCTATTTCAAACATTGATTTGAGTGGGCTGTGCTCCAGTTCGCGGCCCATCAACTCCAGTTCCCGGTCCATCAACTCCAGTCCAGCTCGCTCCTCCCGTCCATCTGTTTCCGACTCGCGATAATTTCAAGACAAGACAACCACGATCCATATTAGCGAGTCACTCTTTGTCCTTCTGACCAGCCACCGTCGTCACCCTTCCCTTCCCGTCTTTTCGACGACACCCGACCAACAGCACAGCCCCCGCGGCTGACGACTCCCAGTAGACCCAACACCCCTTTTGGTTATTGAAGCACACGACAGTTCTACGGGCGACAGCATCACCAACGGCATCACACTTGTCCTGCTGCTGGCAGGCAAGCAAGTTGATACTAATACCCACGACATCACGTTACAACATCAACATCAATCAATCGATCCGCATATCGCATCATCATCATCATCATCATCATCATCATCATCATCATCATACCGCACATGGCGGCCAAACCGCACGTGGAAGCGAGGTCTCTCTCGACACTCAACTCCCTCGCCGCCAACCCCCCACAATACCCTCACAGCGCCGATGTCAAGGAGTCCTTGACCTTGTACATTTCACGAGTTCCCGGTAGTCGAGGTATGTTTCCCTTCCTTGACTCGCTACCACGTCTCTCGCTAACATAACCGGACCCCAGATGTCATCCTTTCCCCCTTCCGGCCGCAGCGCAAGAACGTGACAGTAGAAGACATTAACAATGCTCTCTACCTGATACACCTTGACCTGCCCACGGACGACCTCCTAGTCGGAAACACGCGTCCGAACGAGACATCCACTGCCAATTCGCCTCGAACTAGTGGTGAGAGCGCGAGGAGTGTGATTCCAAGGAAACCCTTACCGCCTAGTGCCCGTGTCGAGATTCCCACTTCGAGACAACCGTCTGCCAACATACCTGCGACTCAAAACGAAAACAATGTGCCCAAGAATACGGGACCGGTACCGACCAGGTCGCCCTCTGTTAGACGGGCAGCCTCTGTTAGACGTCCACGAGCTCCGGGTTCGGAAAGGGTTGAGCGGGCTGTAGCTCCTCAGGCGCCTGTTGCTGGCAATGATGGATACAGACCGAACCCCATGTTTCAGCCCACCCCAGTTCCCGAACCGCCTTCGAGACCAGCACCTCAGTTCCCTCCTCCAGCCGAGAACCTGGCAGCCATGCGCCGCCCCATGGGTCCCCGGCTACCGACCGGTTTGCCCATCCCCGAGGAGCTGGCTTCCCACCCTGGAACTGTCCCAACCAGCAACCGACCCATCACGCCTACCGACCAGACACTTTACACTCCAACTTCAAACGTCCCCCGACCCGGCGACGGGATCCTCTCTCCTACAGTCACCCGTGCTCGCGCCCCCAGTACCTCGAAACTAGCAGCAACCATTCCTTTCACCCTTACGCTCATCCGACGCGATCCTTCGACCAACCTCCAGTGGAATGTGGGCAAGATATCCTCGTTCGAGACGAACATACCTACTCCCGAGTCTGCGCATCCAGATCTCGGAGAGGACACGCCAGTTGCCGAACAACCGCCACCGATTGCCACACAGTTAATCGACATCCACCTGGAAACATCCGGGTATGCCAAATATAGGGGAATGCCCAGCCGCGCAAACATCGAGGCCTTGCGACCAACATCCCCTCAGTCCTTCGCCAGGACTCTACAGGGATTAGGGTCAAGTAGTACAAGTGCGAGTGGAAGTCTGGGTAGTCTAGGGTCAAGTGGGAGTCCGCAAAAGCAAATCATGGGTGTAGCGCACAGGGAAGTTGAGGAAGGGTTCCATCGCCAGGTAGTAATGGCCTACACCAAGTCCTGGACCTCCGGTCTCAAAGGTGCTTTCAAGAGACACTCCCGCTCAGCCAGTACCGCCTCTGCTACCATGGGCGATCTTCCGGGACATACCCGCCACGGCAGTTCATCAACCATCGGTTCAGCCGACATGTCGCCCAACGAACACCAAAACCAAAACCCCCAATCTCCTCCCCCTGCCGGCGGTGGTCACAACCGCCAGGAGTCCATAGGCGGTGGTGGTGGAGGCCAACTAATAACCCAACCAGGTCCCAACCTCCGGCCCAAGGGGTACGTCTTCCTCTCCCCCTGGCTAGGCCGCTGTGAATTCCGCACCGGCTCCACCGGCCGCTCCCTCAAATGCCGGCACATCCTCGACGAACACTCCGGAGGACTCAACCAAATCACACAAATCGACCCCGCCAAACTCGCCCAATCCGTGCGTGACGCGCCCACCATCGGCCAGTCGCGGGGTGACTCAATCACCTCAGCAATAACCGGCGCCAAACCCGTTTCCGAACTGCGCTTCAACCTTCCTTCCGCGTCCGAACCGCGCTCACCTGGCGCTGGCACTGGCGGCGACATCTACTCCCCAGGCCATGCAGGCGGCGGGTCGTCGAAAAGACATCGGTTCTCGAAATTCCTCGGTCTTCAACCGCCCAGCTCGGAGGAAGAAGAAGAGTATTTTGATGACGGCGACGGCGGGGGGGACCCCTTTGATATGGCGCTCGGAAGGGAAGATGCCGGTGGTGGATCCAGGGGCAAGAGAGCGAAGCTGGGAAAGCTGATTATTCATGATGAGGGATTGAAGATGCTGGATTTGGTGGTGGCGGCTAATATGGGCGTTTGGTGGAATACGTGGGAAAAGAGGTTTTAGGAGACCGAGGAAACCGGGGCTCAGGCTGGGGCTGGGACTGGGACTGGGATTGAGACTGAGACTGAGACTGAGACTGAGACTGAGGGAGAAGAGGGGTGGCGGTTGCTGAGAGGTATGGGCATGGTTGGTGCGGGAGGTATGGGAATGGGGATGGATGGTGTTGGTGATGTGGGAATGGGCGTTATCAGGAGTGGGTATGGACATGGAGGGAGGCGCAGGAAGAGAGATATGTGTCGACCGTGGTAGGCTTCGTTCGCATGGGGGATGGGAAGGTTGTGAAGTAAAGCACGGAGATGGGACTCGGAAAGGCAGGGGCGCAGGGACGCAGGGACGCAGGGGTGGAAGAGAGGTGAAAGATGACCGGAGGCAAAAGAAACAGTACATAGACAGCATGGCATAGACAAGGTAAGATAGATACCCATAGCGTAGCATGGTCAGAGACTCAGAGGGAGGTAGCATGGCATGGCATGGCATGATGGATGAATTATGACATTTTGACGATCAAGTTTGAGCTGCAAGGACCGTACCTACCTACTGTACCGTGCCGGCTCTTTCCTGTGGCCTATGTTCATTGTGTTCCATCCGATGATTTCCTTCCCATGGTTGTTTTTTCTTTTCTGTCTGTGTCTGTGTCTGTCTGTCTGTCTGTCTGTCTGTCTGTCTGTCTGTCTGTCTGTCTGTCTGTCTGTCTGTCTGTCTGTCTGTCTGTCTGTCTGTCTGTCTGTCTGTCTGTCTGTCTGTCTGTCTGTCTGTCTGTCTGTCTGTCTGTCTGTTACGTGGATTGTAGAGATATATAGATCTTTTCTAAAGATTGATCCATTAATGGAGATGCGGCGGTAAGGAAAGATACCTAGCTTGAGGTATATCTGTTCTGGATGACAGCCGACCACTACCTCTGTTAAGGTACCTACCTACCTACTAGGTTGCATACCTCTAGATACGAACGAACAACGGAATCAACAACGAATACCTAGAGGTAATGATCCCAAAAGATCCCAAAAGATTCCGAAAGGTAGAGGCGGGTAAGGTAAGGTAAGGTAAGGTAAGGTAAGGTAAAGAAAGGGACCAGAATAGACCTCAGCTACCTCTACCGTGCATCCCGTTCCCATCCCGTTCCCATCCCGTCCCCGTCCCCGTTTCCACCATACGATAAACCATAAACCATAAACACGATAGATACCCAAGGTAGCTCTCCAAACAATCAAACTTGGTTAGGTTGACGCCATCTACACATACCTACCTACAACAGGATGCATATGTTCGATGTCTTGCTCGCACATAATTCCAGATCAGGCGCGAAGCTGTTGTGGTCCGTAAGTTATGAAGCTACCTAGAGGGTAGCTTGTCCAAGTTTATGTGATCTCGTATGGGCTGGGTTTATGAAGAATTGGTGGTGTCGATAAATACCTGGCAACTGCGTGTTTGATGTCGGTGATGGTTGACGCAGGAAGGAATGGCGGATGCGTGGCCGAAATGAATGGACTGTGCCTGAGTATGGAGTACACAGTACCTTAGCCTTCGTCCATTGTTCTATCCGTTCTTGGAATTTGGTGAAAGGGGACACCGTAAGTAACGACTGAAGACCGGTTCTGATCTAGAGCTGAAGCGTCGACCGATTTTTCCATTCCATTCCTGAGTGACACTGGGACAATGCACCTCCCATTAACCGTGAAGCCTTCTCTCGGTTGTAGGGTAAGGCAGTAGTAGTCCTCGAAGCTCATAGAACACGCCGCCAAGAGCGACTTCTTTTCCGGTCCAGGCCTACCTCAGCTGCTTGTTACACACACCGAAACATTCCATTCCATGGGAAAGTTATTTTCGCATATTTCGAGCTTCAGCGCACTGGGTCCGTACCGTTCGGCACTGTGGCGGTACATCTCCTGTATATGGGTGTGCATCATACCTCGAGACCCTCGAGCTGGGAGAAAGGGAGTAAACACCAACGCCATGCCGTGATGATCCGAGACTCCGAGTTGACTCACAGCAGCATGTCGAGCGAGCCCGTCAGTCTTGTCTTGTCTTGTCCTGCCTTGTCTTTCCATGTCTCACTCCACGTGCTTGACGTGTTCATTGGCTGAATGAGACAGACACAGAGACCGAAACAGGGGTGGAAACAAGTTCCCGCTGGTGTGAAGTGAGACTATCGGCGGCACTGACTCGTGAGCTGATGTTGACTGCGAGCCCACTCTACTCTCAGCGCTGGGACGAGGCTGGGTAAAAGTGTCAGTGGGAGAGAGGGTGGTATGTGGCGACGAAACTTGTGAGACGACGTGATGTCTTCCGGACAGGTAAACAATGCGAAATCGTGCGAATGCGATATTTCGGATGCAACGGCGTTGAGGGCGGCAGACGGAGATAAGCGAGAATGGCAATCGTATGTAGGTATCAATCGTACCATGATGACGATCTGTTGATCACGGGGCTCGTATTGTGGCTCATGGGTGGCTCATGGGTGGCTCATGGGGTAGTTGACTGCCGGGCTTGCCTTGATGTTGATCGCTGTGGCTGGTCTCGAGACGAGGAATCTGGAAGTTAGCCTCCTGGGATGGATGGGTAGGACGGAGGAGGTGGTGTGCTTGAGAACTGGTTAGGGAAACTTAATTTCGGACAAGTAGTTGTTCCGAGTGATAGGTCAAGGCCCGATGAATGCCATATGGGGCCGAGGTTGGTAACGTGGTGGTCTCGGGCCCAGCCGCAGCGAGTGAGTGGTGCTGAAGATGGTGTTGGAATGTGAACATGAGTTGCAACCAGGAGTCCGGACCAAGGCGATAACTGTGACCACGAGGATGTTGATCTGTTTTGATAATACGAGAAGGAGTAAATAGGGAGTGTCTCATGAGGAGAGAATCATGCTGTTCAAGACAAAAGAAGTAAGGCCAGCAACTTTAGTCCCACCCATGTCTTTCGATGTCTTCCAAGCTCGGCGAGCAAGTGAACATGAAAGGCTTGTTTCAGCTCATATGGACTTTCAAATGGTATTCTGGTCTTGGTTTTGTGAAGCTATTCCTGCACTTGTATTCAGAGCAAGCCACTAGGTCTTTGAGAGGGTGTCGTGAATCGGACAGTGATTGGAGAAGTGGTCAATAGCAGATGTCACATCTGAACTTTTGTGACATCTGGGGAGTACAGGACGTAGACCGGTCTGGATAGCTTGAAGAGAGCAAGACGAATAACGACCAATGAAGAAGAAACCGTTGTGACGATGAACCTTTCTTGTGGTCTTTTGCTGCGAGATCATCTCTCTTGGTGCATGATACATGAAGTGATCCCGCTCTCGCATTTGCGAACTCTCGCGAATCCTCGTGGTGGTCCTGTGAGTTCCAACCGCCAGTGTGGCATTACGGTGATAGGATCAGAGGGATCAGCCCAGACAGTGGAGGAGGGTTGATCGAGGTTAGCGTGAACCATTGATTCCAGCCTTGGCTTGTGAATCCACTGATTATCTCCGGCTGGTGTGATTGACATGGTATCGACAACCTTCAGGAACATTTACTCGGTGCTTCTTGAAGCTGTCGCAGTGTTGGTGATGGCTTGATGCTGTGAGCCATGAGCCTTGGAGTGAGACATGCATCGGCAGGCAGTCAAGGCGTCAATTCATCAACGTGTCGAGTCTGACAATGGAAGGGATTGATTCAGGTTCGATAAGAGTTTTCCGTCAAAGTTCAAGTTCTCAAATTTTCGAAAAGGGAAAGGCAGGTGATAAAGTGGTTGCATAACGCCCAGGCTCACCCAGGGAAGGAGGCAGGGGAGTGTGATTGTTCTCGTGACGAAGCACGCCGCTCATGTGGCGCCTATGTCTCCCCCACTGGCCTCACCGAGACACACACACCTTCCATGTTTACCTTGACCTTGGCCTTGGCCTTTTTGTTCGGGACCGGGGCAACTGGGAGGAGAATCTCAGCATACTAGGATAGGGTGGAGAAGAAGACCGAGCATTAGGTATGTTCAGTTCCCAGAAGACGGTTCGGAGAATGCGAGACAGAATCAGAAATGGAACCCCCACGGGCAGACGGCTTGTAGCTTCAAGAAGCTGTGCAACCAACCCGTCCCGGCTGCCTTGTGTGCCGACGGGTTGTCAATATGACAAATCCAATCAGCAACACTGAAGATGTTGTTACTTGGATGGTCTCGATATCAAAGAAGCCAGGTGAGCCCAGGGTCAGTGTTACCACACCGAGACAAGAGGCCGGGGGTTGACAGCTTGATGACAATCGCCGGTTATCCGTCATGTCATTCCAATGGCGGCGGTGAGGGTGGGCGAAATGGACCATGTACTTCCCCTCACCCCGCACTCGAGAGAGCGAACTCCAATTCGGCTCTGCGGTCTGGACTTGTACACGAATCCTCATTCCGTGGTATCTCTGTGGCTGATGTGCTCTTTCTATGGGGTTCAAAAGACAATAATCTAATATGCTAATGTTGAATGTTAAAGCATTCAGATGGATGTGGGAGTGACATTTAATACTGCCGAGTTGAACATTGGAAAGGTGGAGGCGTAAGATACGGTAAAGGTAGCCGAGATAGCTACCACACCTTTTCTCCAACTGACCGAGCGGGAATGCCTCGCTATGGTTGCCACTGCAAACAGAAACATCAGCCTTGTTATAGAAACAGGTAGGTAGAAATGGAATGAAAAAAGTGGACGAGGCGCGGACCAAATCAACGACTACCTAGGCAACAGCTTCTTGCCTTCTTCTGTTGGTTTCCATTTATTCATCTCCATCCGTCCTCGTCTTCATTGTTCCCCTTTGACTTAGACAGCTTCCTCCCGGTCTCCTTGCATCATCTTGAATCCCAGTTGTCCCGTCATGCGAATGCATATCTCCATACTCATCAGGTTACACTACCAACAGAACAGACGCTGAAAAGTGAGAGATCAACTATCGAAACCACTCGGCTGACCCGAGCAAGCCGACTCTAACCTGGAATCGTTGATGATACCCTGCATTATCATACAATACCCTGCATTATCATACAATACCCTGATGAGCAGTGGGAATACCCGATCGAGATTCCGTCATCCCGATCAGGAATAATCGGGCTTATCTTGTCGCCCGGTCCCCTCATTCTTTGCCTTTTCTTTCTCGAGGAGTCAAGTCCACGAGTCCAACAAGGTCCCCGTCACTGCCGGCCCTTCTGCTGTCATCTCACCTCATCCGTCTTCCGCCGTGACCAGTTCTAGTGGTCATCCAGTCAAAGATCGGGTTGATAATTGCCAACACTTTATTGCAACAAACATGTTTGGAATCTGACAAACCCTGAATAACCTCACTTTTGCCGGTCTTGGGAAATCAAAGGTCTTGGCAGGCACCGTGTACCTGCCGTCAGCGATCTCACTTGCCTGCCCTCAGCCAATCGCCATATCAGCAAATCGAGCTGGCATTTGACGACAGCTGTTGAACCCCGCCGGTTGCCCCTCATCCTTCGCTGCAATTGGCCGATTATAGACTCCGTACCTCCGTCTCCGTCTAACTGGCAGTCTTGGCAGTCTTGGCGGACTGTACTCGACCGGCGACAGCAAGAGTCGCAGGAGTTGGCAAGAGTTACGCTAACGAATGCCCGCTGTCGGCCACCCAAATCACTAACACCCGAAACCACCTGCAACACCTGAGCCGAGCAAGCGCATTGCACTAACAAGCAGCACATTCCCTACTGGCTGGCAACCACTCAAGAATCGGGCCGCCGCCCCTCCCACCGCCCAAATTCCATCTTTTTCCCCTCAGACGATTCCATCCGCGTGTTCCCTTTTGCAAGTGCCTTGCCTCGACGTATAGATCTACCCCAGCAGCTCGAGTCCAGTCCTCCCGACCTGCCACCCGACTCCGACCTCACACCTTAACCTGCCTCGTCTCCGCCTGTTAGTGGCCGGCCGACACTCAGCTGTCACATCGATCCTCCTTCAACAACTCACCTGCCTGCCACCATCTCCGTCCCTGGCTCCCGTCTTTACTTCTTTTTCTACCTTACTCCAACCTTACCTTGGGTAGTATCCAAACTCATCACCGCCGCCACTGTCCAAAAGCAACACCAACGGACGGCATCTGGCAACCCGACAGGCATATCAACCTACCTAGAAGGTACCTCTACAACCCGCGTCATCCATCTATAGAGGTAGCCCGGGCCGCTTCCTGGCTCCTGCCACCCGATCATCCTCCGACCTCGTCCTCTTTGCAGCCGGACTCGCACCACCGACGGGAGGGACCTGACCAACGGACCGCTAATTCTACCCCATCCAAATCTCCTCATCTCGACCCCTCTTCGATCCCTACTTCGATCCCCAAATCGAATCGCAACAACCACCGACGAAGCATTCATAAGCTCAACAATCTGCGCCCTTCGTTCCCAGGTCCCGCTGCTGCATATCAACGTCATGTCCGCTACCAATGGTGCGGCTGCTGCCGACTATCGCAGTCACAGTCACATGCGATCAGGCAGTCTCAACATCAACGCAAACCAGGCCGGGCCTGGTGCTGCCCCGACCATGATTGCGTCTCCCTTGCCTGGCGGCCAACTGCCAGGAGCACACCGATTTGACCATTCGCGCAGTCCACCTAGTGAGTTGTTGTCCTTTATGCCCCAAAATGACTAGGAATGCCCATTGTCGCATGTGGTCGGCTGACAACATGCTCTCTTTTCCAGATACGTCGCATGTTCCGTGCAAGTTCTTCCGCCAGGGCGCTTGCCAGGCCGGCTCCGCGTGTCCCTTTAGTCACGATCTCAGTGCCGCGGCCGAGACGGTGTGCAAATACTTTGCCAAGGTAGGACCGATAACATCCAGATTCCCGGGTCCTTCCATCCTGTCGTCCTCCTGCTGACATGTTTCTGTGCCACCATGACTTATAGGGCAACTGCAAATTCGGCCCCAAGTGTGCCAACATCCACGTGTTGCCCGACGGCCGCCGTGTCAACTATGGCAAAGGCGGTGTCACGATCGGTGCCCCGCCCGTCGCCTTGGGTGCCCGCGTGAACCCCAACACCTACCACCAACCATCCAACAGCGCCCTTACCAACTCGTTCCTCCATGCCGACGCCGTTCCCTCGTACTCCGCCTCCGCCTACGGTCATCCCGATGAACAATACGCCCACCAGCCTGGTCAGAACGGCGGAGCCAATGGAATCCCGACCATCGATACCACATATACCTCCAACCCCACCACCGCTTTTGGCTCCCCTCGCGCGGATGAGGATGTTGCCGGTCGCTTCGGTCTCGGCGTTTCTCCCGCCCCCAGAGGCCTGTCAGTCCTAGACGCCCCCCTCCCGGCTTCCTTCGACAGCAACGGCATCTCTCACGCCGCCCGCTACGGCCCGTTCCCCTCCTCGGTTCCCGAGAGGTTCGGTCTGGAGTCTAGCTCCCTCGGCATGAGCGCGACCCGGGACGCCAACACTTCGCGCACCCTCCTTGCGCTACGTAGCTCCGCTTTCGGTGGAAACGACAACATCTCTCAGTCCCTCCTCAGCGGCGATGGGTTCGCCAACAGCCCGCCCACACACTCCTCGGCCGCCTTCTATGGCTCCAGCCTTGGCGGTGAGGATGTCGGTTTTGGCAGAAGGCCGATGCACAGCAGCTCCACCAGGTTTTCCAAGCCCAGGCTGCTGAGCCAGAGCGTTCCCCATGACCGCGATTGGGACTCTGATTTGATCTTTGACAACGAGGAGGATTACGTGCCGGGAGAGTTGGCTAATGAGTTGCTCACCCCTGCCGAACGTGCGAGGAGAGGATCTAGCACCGCTACCGTCCGTGGCTTCGATGCTCCGCTGGACTCTACCGGGCTCGACACCACCAAGTTCGGTAGCCCCATCTCCCAGAGCCCGAGCAGATGGGGATCGCTTTTCCAGCGCCAAAAGGAGGAGGAGGAGAGAGAAAAGCTGGAGTCTAACGGCGGTAGCGGCAGTCTCAGCTTTATGCCCATCGCTGGCCGCAGCATCAAGCACCCGCCCTCGGCTTTTGGACACGTTGGCAGCCCACTGCGCAACTCGAGCCTCGCCAGCGCTTTTGTTTCTGAGGATCCCAACCGCCAAGGAAGCCTCGCTGGCGAGTCGTTGTCTGCGCTCACCCAACAATTCCAGCGTAGCAAAATCGGCGAAGACTCATCCCTCATGTCCTCGAGCCCCCGTGGCCTTCACCCCAACTTGGGCCGCAATGGAGCCTCTGGCGCTGGTGTCATTGGCAAGGAGAGGGGCGATAGCTTGCAGAGACATATCAGCTCCAACTCGGTCAGCTCGACAAGCGGGAGGTTCGCTACGCCGATTATCAACGAGGATAATGAAGGAGAGGAGGAGGGCGATTTTGTCTTCACCATGGAGGAGGAGGACGACACCGTCCAGGCGGGACAGAACCAAAAGCGCAACGGTAGCGGTAGCCCGCTCGGAAACGGGGGCTCGCTGGGTAACGGCGGATCTTCGTCGCCTTGGGGAAGTTATGCGGGCGCTGCTGGGAGTGGTGCGAACGGCGATGATTCGAAGGGCCAGAATGGTGTGAGCAAGGTGGGAGCTGTTGGGGCGAAATAACCGATGTTGTCTCTGGACGGGCAACGACTGCTCGACATGGGCGGGCCCTCGAAACTTCAACACAACAAACCATCCACAGCGATCTCACGCGATTCAACATCGAACTTTTCAATATCTTTCATATGCATACATGCGGTCGTTTTGGATATGTTTCATTCACTATTTTTTTCTTAGTTTCTTTCTTCATGGGGATGAGCCTCACAAACAAAAGCACATTGGGAGGGGAAGAGAAAAGCTGGATGCACGGGAAAGCGAAACAAAGCATACTTTTTTTTGGCCATAGGGAAAGAAACGAATTTCTCAGCGGACGGGGGATGGATGGATGGATGGATGGATGGATGGATGGCGTGCAAAAACAAAACATTGTGAAGGATACCGTACGTACTATGATCACGAAACGGGAAGATAAAATGCACTTTGCTTTCACTTGAAGAACATTTGGAATTATTTTGCTTGTTTTTCTACCCTTATAGCTGTTTTCCGGGTTTGTTCTCCAAGTTAGTTGCATGATGTACATGGTATGGTAGAGGTGATAAGGTAGTGTAGGATTAATGAATTGTGTATAGAGTAGGACTACGGTAGCTGATGGATTCCGTTTTTGTTGTCTTGAAGTTTGTGACCTACGTACAGACACACGAAGAAGCGATAATTAATATTGTTGTCTTGAATGGAATTGTCTATAGATCTCAAGTTTGAAGTCCCATTTGAGTTGTTCACCCATCAAGGTTATGTCAACAGGCAGATCGAGTCGAAGAGTATGAATGACCTCGTGTACTTTTAGTACTTTTGCCCCAACTCAGCATCATACATTGCCTCAATCACTCACTTACTCACTCTTCTTCTTCGAGAGAGAACCGAGTAATCCAGGATCGAAAAGCGAGGTACTATAGGCCACAAACCTAGGTACCATAGAACACGAAAGATACTTGGAAAAAAAAAAAAAAAGAGCACTGGATATCAAATTCGTTGTACCAAAAAATCTATGAAGGAGACGAGATACGCAAAACAGATAAAAAAAAAACACGAAGCGAAGAAAAAGCCAAGTACCGTAAAGACGAAAAAAAAACAAGGAGAAACACAAAAACATGAAAAAGATCAAAATCGATGAATATATATCTTAACCGCCCAAACACCAATTCAGAACGGGCACGGGAGACAATCAGAAGAAGAAGGAAGAAGGAGGGAAAAAAGAAGAAAAAAAAGAAGAAAAAAGAAGAAGAAAAAAAAAGGGACACACACTCATCAAAGGAGGACGAATCCGGTTCCAAGCTCTCTCTGAACTACCATACAAGTAATTTACCTGCCCTCCAAGGACGGACCGGAGATGGAGATCAAAGTCTGACTTTTACTTTACTATTTGTTTGTATTGCTGTTTGATACTGACTGATAGGTGAAGCAGCGAAGGATACCTTGAAAACCCACTCAGATCCAGATCTTTGAACCGCTATCATGAGTTTTTATGAAAGAGTTTGTTTGCAAATCTGATGATGTACCCTTCTCTCTGTTGCAAGTGCAATTAAGGTAGGTACGATCCTATTCTACTAGAATGGAACTTGACAGAACAGAACAGAACAGAACTGACTGACTGACTGACTGACTGACTGACTGAAAGTAAACGTACCTTACCTACCTACGGCAATCGATGGGGGCATATTGGCGTTGCGCAGGTAGGGAGGTTGGTAGGTATGTAGGTAGGGAGGTAGGTAGGTGGGTAGTTTTTTTGTGTGTGTGAAAGATCTTTTTGTGTCGCGTCCTTCTCAGAGGCCTTTACCATGCATGGCCGGTCCATCGAGCTAGATGAGTCAGTCGGTTCGAACTTTTAGAATGATGACTGGGCTGTATGCATGTTGGTGAGAGAAGTAAGCAAGTGAGTGAGTGAGTGACTCCTCGGGCGTAGCCTTGGCTGCCGTAGAGGTCTTGGTTTTCTTTCTTCTTTTTCTTCCTTGTTTTCTTACCCTTTTCTTTTTGTTTTCGATTTTTCAATTGAGGCTCAATTCGTCTCAGCTCTCACGCCATCCGCTGAACTTGGAAGAAAAGTAAGCGTATGTACGGACTTACTCTCTGACATCGCCAAAAAGAGACGCTCTATTTATCAACACCACTCGTATCAACAGCGTAGCTCATTTCGCAGCTCAGGCGTCTCAACCCACCCACGACATAACTGATCCTCGACCCGGTCATTCCCCAATCCCTTTCACTTCACAACACAAATCTGACACCTATTACGTCCCGTTTCATCCGTCATCTCATCTCTTCATTTAGGTGGCTGGTTCTAACATTGGTAAGGATATGGTACACGGATTGTTTTCCAGACTCAAATCGATCATTTATCGGTTCATCGTCGACTCGGTCAGGTCTGGAGTCTGGGGGGAAAGATAGATGGAGTAGATAGAGGTAGGAGGAGGAAGTAAAGTATGTGGGGTTTATATTGCGGAGAAAAGTCTAGACGCTCAAGATTTCATGATCGGACATTTAGTTGGCATCGGGCTGGCTGAGGATGTACTCGACGGCCTTGTCGACGGAGTGGATCTGGTCGGCATCCTTGTCGGGGATCTCGATGGAGAACTCCTGTTTCGGGGGAGGCTTGTTAGCATCGTGTTTCATGTCCAGTCCATCTGCTATGTTATGACCGTATGTGTCCACGTGTCCCGGGTTGAAAGGGAATGTGTTGAGAGGCAAGCAGAGCACGCTCAGGGAAGGAAATGACATAGAGCGAGCGCAAGTAGGGAAAGTAGGGAAGGTATCATAACATACCTCCTCAATAGCCATAACAACCTCGACGGTGTCCAAGCTGTCAAGACCGAGGTCGTTGGCGAAGTGGGCGGTCTCGGTGATCTATGGGTACCATTTGTCAGTCTCATCTTGCGCTACAAAAGAGCTTTCCTCTCGTTTCCTGCCATTGGCGTCATGGTCACCCTTCATCCAGACTAGGTTGCGAAGACCAGCTCGAGGCAGAGCATCGCCCTAGAACGCGCGGGGAAGCATTGTTGCCGCATGTACGGCTCGGTTGTGGGTGGTGAAAAGGTGCACTTACGTTCTTGGGGTCGTTGACCTAGAGACAAGAGATGTTAGCTTGGGATTCATCACAGCGACTCATGATGGCGAGACAAGAACGCGAGAGCTTCAGGGGGAGCAAGCCAGGGAAGCGGAAGAGTTTGGAGGAAGGAGAAAGCGGACGGGGGAGCAGAGGCAGAGTAAGACATCCAAGGAGAGAGCAGAAGAGAGCAGAGAAGCAAGCATCCAGGGCCGTGATCCCAAGCTTGAGCACCGAGGTACCCAGCCCATCCGAAGAGCTCCCAAGCTCCCGATAGCACCGGCGATGGCGCAGCGGGTACAACGCGCAGGGCTCTGTATGTGTGGACAGCTCTCGCTTCGTTCTTCTCCTTCGTCCATCTTGGTATGAGCGGTCGTGTCTTCTTCGTGTTGTCCTCATCCATTCCCTTCTCCTCCTCTTCCTCGGCATTTGCATCCTCTTTCTGGCGCTATGCTCGTGCTCGCCGCTTGCTCTGCCCTCTCCTCCCCTTCCATTTCCTTTATTCCCGGCTCCCTATTTCCTTCTCTTGCTCTCCATCCTCTTCTCCTTTTCTCTCCTCCAAACCTCTAGCTCCGTGTGTGTCCGTGATGCAACGTCTGTGTTTATCTCCAGGAATATGAACGCACCTTGTCAAATCCACTCAACACCTGCGCAATCCTGCTAAAGACCTCATCCTTCTTGAGGTGCCCACCAGCGCTGTAAAACCTGATGGCCTGGAAGGCAGCGACCTTGGGGACGGCGGCGACAAAGGCAGTGGGACGAGCGACGCCAGCGCGGACGGCGGAGGCGACGGCGGGACGGGCCACGCGGGCGGCAGTGAGGGCGGCGGTGCGGAACATTTTGGTTTTTGTTTATTTGGGTGGGTATTGTCGCGAAGAGAATGACCGTCAATTGCGCAGTGTCGAGATGTTGGAGGGTTGGGTGGTGATGGTGGCCGAAAATGAGTGACGCTACTGTAACTCGGTGGTTCTCGGACGAGGATTGTTGCGGGTTCTCTTGGAGGAGTGGATTTCTGGGCAGGTGGTTGGCTGGAATCAGCGATGATGATGATAAATTTCTCGCCTGTGTACCACAGCACCACCGCCGGGCGCGGGAAGCGGGTGTGCGGGCAGCGAGCGGGCCAAGCTAAACGGGCAGCCAGAGCTCCAGTCATGTACCTCTGTACCTCGATGCTCCCCGCAAGCAAGCCATGGAAGCTTCCGAGGTCACGTGCTCCCTCTGTCTGGGTGTAACTTTTCGTACCACTGCGGAACATCGAATTCCACTGCGGAGAAATGTGTCAGGCAGATACTCCACTAACACCCCACGGGCAGAACCACTCCACTCGACTGTTAGGCGGGTAATCCTGGTTAATGATGGATACGATGCGGTGGAGTTCATGACGATGCAGCTTGTATCTTACAGATGGTATTTGTACATTCAGCCTTGCAGCACCACTCTTAATGTTTCCCTCAATTTGAAGGAAATCTAACAACCTGACACCCCTTTTGATGGACGAAGATAGAATGATGAAAGGCGCTTTTGAGTTTAACCGCAAAGGTATCTACAGCCTTGTTTTGCCTGCCTTCTATAACACATGGTGCGTCCTGTTGATACCGCAACCCGTCCGAAACTGCTGGTCCCGAAGCTCTAGCATAGAAACAACGAAAAAGAATCATCCCTCCTCCATTGTCCGTCCTGTTATCCGGTGATCAAACTGAAACCCCTTTATCTGTAAGGAGCATCAGCCCTGATGGCAGCAGCCAACTCGGGCTCCCACTTGTCGCCGTTGGACAAAAGCTTCTCTGTTCATGTCACATTCGTCAGCAATCTGCTCTCCACGTACATCACTCACTCTTGTCCCCGTAACACCCCCTCACGAGGATCTCAAATCACCATCCGGACATAAAAACTCACCCTTGTTATACAACAATTCCTCCCTCGTCTCCGTCGCGTACTCAGCATTGGGACTCTCCACAATCGCATCAACGGGACAGCTCTCCTGGCAGAACCCGCAGTAGATGCACTTGGTCATGTCGATATCGTAGCGGGTAGTCCTTCTGCTTCCATCAGCACGCTCCTCGGCCTCGATGGTGATGGCCTGGGCAGGGCAGACGGCCTCGCAGAGCTTGCAGGCGATGCAGCGCTCTTCGCCCGAGGGGTAGCGGCGGAGGGCGTGCTCGCCGCGGAAGCGAGGGGAGATGGGACCCTTTTCGAAGGGGTAGTAGATTGTGTACCTGGATGGGGGATAGGGTGTGTTAGTAGTTGATGACGATGGGTTGGGGCTGCTGCAGGCTGTTGATCGTAGGTCGTGGTGATGGGCATCCAACACAGTATGAGCGCGCTTAGCTACCAGCTACCAGCCGAGCCGCAGAGCCGCAGAGCCGCAATCTCCATACTCCAGTGCGCGAGTCATGATACTTGTCATGGCGTGGATCCCTTTGACCATCCCATCGGCTTCCACCCTTCCACCAGCGACCGCGCCAGAACCTGACCCTGAACGTGAACCATAACCATAACCATAACCATCACCTTCGCTCTCTCGCCACCCTGTCCCTTTTTCTTTTTTTTTCTTCTTCCTCTTCCCCTTCTCACCCAGAGAAAACAGCAACAACCAAAAGAAAGACAGCAGGTACTTACGGCGGCCTGAAAAACTGCTCCATCGCCACATACATGCCCCTAAACATCTCCGTCAAAAGGAAATACCGTCCATTCTTGTCCAGCGCGTGTTCCTCCTCTTGGTCCCAGGTCTTGGGGGTCGGGATACGGAAGCCCTTGGGCGGAGGACCGGCGGGAGTTGCGTAGGTACGGATGGCTTGGGAGACGAAGGAGGGGGCGATGATGGCTCGGCGGGTGGTAAGTTGGCGCGCGACGACGGCAGCGGCCGAGGAGGCAGTGGTGGTGAGCATGGTGGCGGTTGTGACGTCGATGAAGACGGCGGGTGGTTGTGGTGGTGATTAAAGTAGGTGGTGGTATGAGATGCGCCGGGTGATGTTGTAGGAACGGTTGTCGTCGCGATCCTAGGTGGCGATGGCAAAGTTAATTACACTGCTTTGCTTTGCGCCTGCGACTTCAAACTATTGTGACCAGCCAGCGTCCGGTTCGGTTTCGAGCTTTCGACGGTAACGACCAGAACCAAATCGGGACAACGGTATCATAGACTAGAGTGGATCGAAGGCAGTTCAAGGGAAGCGGAGACAAGCGCACGAACCTGGATGGAGGCGACGTTCAGCACAATCCCCGGGCTGGCAGGCTGCTGCGATAACTTAACGTCGGTTCGGTCGTCGATGGATCCCTGCCGTGTGCTTGGAGTACGCCGTCCACCTCCAGACGGAGCCTTGGAGCCACTCAAGAGCCACAGCTGTGGATTTGGAAAGGCTAAGCTGGGATTGGCTGCGGCTGGTGAGCTGTGTCGCGAAGGCATGATCCAGCACGTGATACTTTACACTCCTCGACTTTATCTTATCTCCGGTCGGCCCCACCAGAGCTCCCCAAAAGACCCCACTTCCAAGCTCCAGATCCAACCCCTCTTTCCCCTGAGCTGCAATGTGAGCTGGCAGCTTCCTTCCCCCATATGAGCTTCCTTTTCTTGCGTAACTTCCAACAACATCCACATGACAACTTGGCCGAGTGGTTAAGGCGACAGACTTGAATAACCTCATTATTCAGCTATCTGTTGGGTTCGCCCGCGTAGGTTCAAACCCTGCAGTTGTCGTTGAACAATTCTTTTTTGCATTCTCACCTTTAATTTCTACGAAAAGCTCCAGGAGCTCCATGATGGGCTTCCTTTTTTGCGGTGTGCTTCTACTTGTGAATACTTGTGCCATCATTTCATGTTCTCTCAAGCTTCGACTGACCAGCTGCCATCCTTTCTTCGTCATCAGAAAGCAGATATCTGCCTATACATGATGGGTACCTCTGGCTAGTTATTCCTTCGTTCGTTCATCTGTGCTTATGTTCTATTCGGGAAATAACCAAAGAATGTAGCGATGGTTGTGTTGACCCTTGGTATTTTGTTGTAGGCCGAGTGTTTACCTCTGACCTCCTGTTTGCAATACGGCTCGCTTTGGTTCAAAATTCGTTCTGTCAATTCGGGTATCACGGTCATCGTAAAAGGGCGTAACCAGCACGAGACAGTCAAGGAACTTTCAGCTCCATTCCTCAAGTCATTACTCATCAATCATGAGGTACCATGCTAGCTCTGACCATTCTAGGTACCTCATGGTTTTGTTCCAGGTTTGCTCTCCAGTCCTCAACGCTCAACTTACTCCCGGTTCCATTGCTTTTCCATATTTCCATTTTCCACATTGATGTGCAACTTCCATTCCTTGCACACCAAGAATGCCTTACCACTATAAACACCTGGAACCTCTCTCTTCCCCCGTGGACCATCCTTCATTTCCACTTTCCTCATTCCCGCCCGGGCACCTTACTCGTCATGTTTAGAAGCATCTCTCTCCCCAGCTCCGAGTAATAGGCCCTCACGCCTTTCAAGCATCAATCCCAATGGTCCACCTTCATCACCAGCTTCTCCAACTCCATGTCCAACTCCATCGTCATTCCCAGTGCATCGAATCAATCTCTCCTCCCTCTTTGACCATCTATCTCCAAGATCTGTGCTCTCTGTGGTAGGTACCGAATCAAATCCTCCTCCAACTTTCCATCCCATAGCGCGTTACTCCTTCAATTCGCCATAAAGAATTGCTAAGCGTTGTGCGCACCAGGCTTTTTGCCACTCCTCGACCAGACAGTTGTGCAGTGGGAAGCCACGGCTTCGAAGCACGCGGCCTTGAGGGGCTCGAGTTTCTTGGGATCGGCCTGTTGTTAGACGGATTGTTGGAGATTCAGATCATGTCTGGAGCGATGCCCATGGACTGAGGCCCAAAGGGACGTGTATTTCTCCCTCTCGGTACTATTGAGTTGGGTCTGCAGTTTGTCACGGTAGGTCTCCAGGCAGCTACTTAAAGGAAGGTCTGGGTTAGGGAGCTACAGTCACCAGACCACCGTGGGGACGGTGGTGCAGTCCAGACGTACGTCAGAGGTCGAAGCGCGCCACTTCTGTTCTGCTTCGGCTATAGGTCTCCCTCCCTCTGCTTGAGTGCCAGAAGCGGTTCGTTTGATTCTTGCTCGCGCGGTTCGACAACTTTTTTTAAAACCTTTTTCCCCCTTCTTTTGGTTAATCCGGTATATCCTTTACCGCGAAGGGATAATAGATGAACGGACATTACCTACCTAGCTAGGTAAGCTAGGTATCGTTTTGGTTGTTGGTAAAGAAGAGTTGATGACGACATCAGAAGGAACCGAAAGGAACAAGGATGTGAGGATGTTCCAAAACAAACGCCAATGGTATTCCAATTTCAGTTTCGACTAACAAGCAAATCCATCATTGTCCAACCTCGATGACCCCTTCTTAATCTCCCAAGCCTTCAAGCCCTCACCCTAGGCTTAACCCTCACCCTAAACCCAACCGGCCTAATCTGGAACCATCCATCCTGCACAAACTCATAGCCCTCATCCGCCACCTCAAAATCGACCTCATGAATCAATCTCGCCGTGACGATCTTCAAGAAATTCTTGGCCCACTCTTTACCGATACACTCCCTCTTGCCATTACCAAACCACTTCTTCACACCCTTGGGCAAGTTCTCAAACTCCTCGCCCATCATCCTTTCCGGCTTGAACGCCAGGGGGTCTTCAAACACCGCTGGGTCGCGGTTAACTCCCGCCAGTACGATGATGAGCTTCTGGTCGTGCGCGACTTGGTATTTACCTCCTTGCAGAAGGATGGGTGACTTGTCGGCTTTATTCTGGCGAGGGACGGGCTCGATGTTGAAGCCTGGGGCGGCGCACGAAAGACGGAGGGTTTCGCGGGTTATGCCTTCGATGTACTTGAGTTCAGACAGGTGTTCGTCCTTGAGAGGACCGGTGCCAATGACGCGGTCGAGTTCTTCGCGGGCTTTGGTCACGACCTCGGGGTTTTGCAGAAGGTAGTAGATGGTGGCGGTTATGGCGCAGGGAGCGGTGGCGGAGCCGATGGGCATGGTGACGATTTCGTCGAGGACTTCGGATTCCGAAAGACCCTTGCCGGTTTCGGGGTCTTTGGCGTTCATGAAGGCCCAGAGCATATCCTGCTTGTCTGTGGGGTTCTCTTGGCGGTACTTGACGGTGTCGGCGGCCCAGGTGCGTAGAGTATTGGTGGCCTTTTTGAATTTGGAGGAGTAGAGGAGCCAGTTGACCAGGCCGGGGCGGGTTGGACGCATGATGGCTTCCGAGACGGCGTCTTCCATGGCCTGGATGACAGGGTGGCCGCCTGCTTGGATGCAATCCAGTTTTCGGCTGAAGAGGGTGAGACTTGTGGCTTCAAGGTTGAGGAGGTTGAGGTCGACGAGAGGCTCGAGAACGTTGTTGTTGTTACCGAGGGATGCCCATTTTTGGATGACCTCGGTTGCGCAGAGGTTAATGTCGTCGGTGTAGGTTGAGACGACCTGAGGGGTGAGGAGGGGGGCGATGATTCGGTGATGGATTCCCCAGCTTTGTTCGTGGTGGAAGGCTGTGAAGAGGGAATCGTGGACTGTGGCGCGGATCTCGACGATTGGACCGCCTACGTATTTCTGGAAACGTTGTTCATCGCACAGTTCTTCGGCGAGGGCGGCGCTGGCGACGAAGACGATGGTCTTGCCGAGGATCTTGACCTGGAAGATTTCGCCTGAAGGTGTTAGCGGGTGTAACTGTCGACGTCTTCCGGGCTGTGGGTATTACCATATTTCTCTGCCAGTGTCTTGAGGGACCACCACGTGTTGGCAGGTGTGATGTCGAAGAGGTTTCCCAGCACTGGGATTCCTGGTGGTCGTGGAATTGGGGTCGACATTTTGATGATTGTGGTTTCTGAGGGCCAGACAAAGCTGAAGAGAAGAGAACTAGAACAGCAGCTCAAGAGGTGCAGACTTCGCCATTATACCTCTTCCCTCTTGACCACGTCAATCCACCCCTTCCACCTGAACGTCGCCATCATTCCAGTGACACAACTTTTCCCCAAGCCACTTGAGCTTTTCCTGCCTCTCGTCCCTCTTTTCGACCCGCCATTGCGCAAACTCTGAGACATTGTACGTCGGGGTAAACCAATCGTAGTCCTCGGAATGATGATAACTCGGAGGGTTCCAATGTCGTGTAGCGCAGGATCTCGAGGGCCGCAGGTGTGATGTGTTGAAACATGCATCTCGTAGCTCCAGTCGATTGCTGGTTAGGGTCCCCTACATAGCAAAAGGCGGGTGATCGACGACATGGCGACCAATAGGAAGTTTGTGTGGGTGCATCTCACAATCGGAATGGTTGGGGCTCTGGAGGCGGTCGACCACGGTGCATGGCCAAAGCTATCCTGAAAAGGCAAAGCTGAAGAGAATCGTGGAGCTTGGAGACGCAGAGTTGAGAGCTGAAAAGTGGCCGCTGTCTGGCGGGCGTCTGCTGGCTGCAAATTTCAAACTAGCTCCGGGGGGACAATGGAGGGACAGCATGGTGGCACTGGCGACGGGATGTGGTCGAGGAAGACAGAGTAATAGGATGAACGAAGACGAATTGGTATATTTGGTGCCATTGTGGTGCTACCAGTGGTCGCTATGGAATTCTTGTCGACGTTGAGTATGCTTGTGGTTAAAAGAGTGGAGGTGGAACAAGATCCAATGATGTGTTGACGTTGGAGAAAGATGCGACGGACTTGGGAGAAATACAGCGGAGCAAACACCGAGATGACAGGGGACGGCAGGCAGGGGTCGATAACCATGGCTGGTCTGTGCTTGGAAATACTAAATGCATGTGCCAGAGTATGCATGGGCATGGTGCTCTCAGGTGCGACAGCATATGAGGGGGGTGCTCTTCAGTCAGTCTGGAACCCAGTCTTCAGATGCAAATACATCCAAGACAATTGACCATACTACATATTTTCTTGTTGTTGTTAATAAAGTTGGTGAGTCGAGTACTGTTCAGGAACTGAAGCACTGAAACGCACAGACCATTTCTGACCATCAAGGTGCATTTCCCCAACTGAACAATTGAAGAACGGCAACCAAGTCTAGAAAGAGGGAGCAATTGAGAGATCATGGACTACAGATGAAGAAAACATAAAAAAATAAAAAGAGAGGATTAGAAAACAGAAGTGGAATCTTTGAACAGTTTATACCCGTCATGTTGGATGCGTTGTCCAGACACGGCACCTCCAATCGTGATTCTATGACACGGGTTAGGGTTAGGTATTTGTGTGGGGGTCAACCACACCCTTGTCTACGAGAAACACCCAACTGCCATGACAATCATCTTTCAACGACAGTGTACGACTCATTGACTCTGTTTGCTTACATTTTCTCTTCTCCTAAATGGCTGTTATTCCTGTTAAATCCAGACCGGATCAGCAACTTCCCCAGGAACGGTCAATCAGATCAATCAGGGGAAACAGCCTTAATGCCAAGACATGGGGGGACGACGATGACGTGTTTGATATTTGGAGAAAACAACACCCCCAACAACTTGAACATCAAAAAGACACTCACCCATAACTCGTGCGTTTGACAGGAGCTCAACCTCCGGATTGCTCCAATTCAACCCGCGGACAATGGTTTAATTGACTGTATCCACTGGACGGGTCCGCTTCCCACTAGTGTCTACAAGTTTCCAAATTCCAATAGCCTGTCACGGTTCCTGGACAATTGGCAAGAGAACATGGCGCTCCTTCCCCCAACACGGGAGGAGGTGCTGGACGGCAGTCGTACAGAAAGCTCCCCGGCCAATCACTGTAAACGGTTTACATATCAATGACGATTGTAACTGCCCTTTTGAGAGGCTAGCGAGGCTAGCGAGACAGCTTGGGCCGAGAGATGCATCATTGAGCTGTCATGATCATGAGGGGGGCCTTCCACTTGTAGACTGCAGCCTGGTCGGGGCAGGGCATGTACTGGCCGGCAGCCTAAACTTCATCTCGACTTGTCTGGTGCCGAAAAAGGGAATATAAACCCAACTGAACCCGTCATCGCCAATCCCCAAACTTTCAAAACAATGTCCGTACACCACCAACTCCAACTCTCACTCACACCACCCGCCCGCCTCTCTCCATAAACCACACCACCATCACAACAAACCACCTTCATGTATCGCTTGGCAGCCCACACCGGCCTCAGACAGGCCCCCCGAAGCATCGCCAACAACACTGTCCGCCCAGCCCTCGCGACCCCGCGCTTCTTCCAGTCGGTCGACATCCGCACCATCATGAGCTCCTCCTCGGGCGTCAAGGTCTCTGACCGCATCAAGCACGACCATGCCGAGCTCGAGCAGCAGTACAAGAACATCATTGCTGCCAAGGACACCGACACTCAGACTCGCTGGCAGAACCAGTTCATCTGGGAGCTTGCCCGCCACTCCATCGCCGAGGAGATTGTCGTCTACCCCGCCTTTGAGAAGTTTGTTCCCAACGGCAAGCGGATGGCCGACAAGGACCGTCAGGAGCATCAGACCGTATGTTCCCCAGTATACCTCACATTTCCCATACACGGGCTAACCTCTCCCGACAACAGGTCAAGAACCTCCTCTACGAGTTCCAGAAGATGACTCCCGAGAATGCCGAGTTCCGCCCTACCCTCGACAAGCTTTGGAGCAATCTCTCGCAGCACATCAAGGAGGAGGAGAACGACGACTTGCCCGCTCTTGAGCAGCACATCGACGCCGACTACTCGGGCCAGCTCGCCACTAGCTTCAACACCACCAAGCACTTTGTTCCCACCCAGAGCCACCCCAGCGCTCCTGACAAGCCTCCTTATGAGACCGCCGCTGGTCTCCTGACCACCCCGTTGGACAAGTTGATGGATATGTTCAAGAAGTTCCCCAAGGAGGACATGAAGGCTTAAACTGTCTCATGGGATGCATAATGAGAGGATAATCAGCAAGTTGTGTGGATCACACTTGTGTAGATAATGATAATGATGCAACGAATCAAATAATCATAATAAACAATGGCTCTTTTCCCTCCCTGTGAGCAGTGAACAAAAGAAGATTGATGAAATGAAGTTTAGCTGACAGTATTTGCCATCCAGAGTCGCATTGCCTCCGGAGGCCCCATTCGGGGAGGGACCTCGCTTCGCTCGAACGATCACAGTGGAAGATAGACATACCAAACATCAACAACCACCTAAAACGGATACGCCCTACACTCATCCTCCCTACTCAAATCCAGACCCCGGTCCACCTGCTCCTGATGCTTCTTATCCAAAAACTCCAACAACACCTCCCCGTACCTCTCCATGCCCTTATACTTGGCCACATGATTCCCCCAACTCCTGATGGCGCTCGCCAATCTTCCAGGCGCATACTCCTCCTCAGAAATTGCCTTGATGGGCTCAAAGTACGTCCTAATCGTGAAACACACGGCCCCCGTCTTAGGCAGTCTCCTCAACGTCTGCCTCTCGCTCCTAAAATAATGGTGTTCAACAGCCTTATTCTTCTCCGCCATACTCCAACTAATCTCCCCATCCCCATCTTCAGGTCCAATACTCCACGACCAAGCCAGCGAATCGTCCACCTGAATAAAGTAATTGTTTCGTCCCACCATCTGCTCTGGCTTGAGTCTGCGGAAAAGGTTATACATCCCCTTATGCAGTTTTTCCTTGTACTGCGGCACGTCTCCGCTCGTGTGCAGTTCCGCCAACGACATGCCGAATTTCTGCGTCAGCCGCCAGAAACCTGGTAACAAAGCTGCGCCGGCTAGGAGATAATATTGGTTGTCTGCGCGTTCGATCATCAGGATTAGGTCGTCTTGGATGAGCCGGGCGGCGATTTCCATTGCTTTGCAGCCTTGTTCTACTGCTTCTTCTTCTGGGCCCGTGCCGGTCAGAGAGGAGACGTCGAATGACTCCCCAGACCACAAATTCTCAATCCCCCGCTCTGTTCTCTTAAACAAAGTCGGGTATCTCTCCGGCAAATAAGCAACCAGCTCTTGCAAAAGTTCTACCGAAGCGGCAGCAGCTTCAGGCGCAACCATAATACACTTATCTCTCCGCTCGGCGATTCGAAAAGCTTTGGTGCCGTGGTACTTGGCGTATTGGTTATCGAGCTCTATCCAATCTTCTGGCTTGATCGTGCGCAGGCCCATGGTGGTGTGGTAGATGGGGCCGTAGCGGAAGGGGCGGTAGGGAAGGGGTTTTGTGTTTTCGAAAGACCAGGAGGGGTAGGAAGGGGGTTTGGGGAAGAGGTAGGAGGAGGGGCGCCAGGTGCCTGGGGCGCGGTCTCTCAGGGATTGCTTTTCTGAGGCCGTTGATGTGGCGGTGGTGGGTTTGGAAGGAAGGGAAGGCTGTTTTTGTTTCGACTTTTGGTAGCGGTTGTTGATGAGATATAACAAAATGGAAGGGAAAAGGAAGGCGATGAAAAGGAGGTTTTGTTGAGGCGTGAGTTTGAAAGTTGGACGGTAGGCGTGGAGGGTGTCGAGGAGTTGGTCGAGTTTTGTGGATGTGTCGACGGCCCCGGACGCGGATGACCCTAAAGGGGCGGTGGTGCGGTTGGTGAGTGGTGAGTCCATGATGTGGTTTGTTGTCGATCTTGATGTTGATGATGGGTGATTCGTGGTGGTTTTGGTGCTCAAAAACCTGTGATATCACGGCTTATACCCAGTCTGGGGCTCGTAACAGAACGGGAAGATGGGGACACAAGTCTTATATATCACACCTCCAGAGTCCAGAATTCACATGATACACTACCTATCTTATCAGCAACCTGGAATCTTGTACGACCAACACGGAAACAGAATAGCATCTCTTGCATCACTTGCATTCGAAGTTGGTTGGGATCACTCTAGTAAGACAAATGAGTCTCCTTATCAGCTTATCGCGCCAACTTCGGGACTTTGTTTCCTTTTTGGGAACCCGACGCCTGTGATCCCATCTCCCCGCACTCTGTGCCGCGCTTATCGCCAATCATCAAATGATGAACTAACGGAACGGTATCAGATCTTCTATGTCTGGAATCAGGTCTACCATAAAATTTGAGGCAAAGTCTGGGGAATGATGATCACTGATACCTTTGATGCAGGTGGGTGGGATAAGATGGATCAGTTTGGTGGTGGTCATGGTGTTGACTTTTTCGAGCTCGAGATAACGCGAGAATTTGATTCCAATTTCGGGTACAGTTTCCTTTTGTACCTGTATGCCTGTTACACTGGTCGTCCAAACTTTCTTCTGGCCGTTCGTTGTTATTTCTCGAGCGAAGCTAGATCCCTTCACCGGTTGAAACGGTGCCGGTCCTGTCATCAGATCTTCGGTGCTGAGATGCGTTGGAAGTTGGAACTGTGAATCGTTCGAGCGAAGCGAGGTCCCTTCCCGGGACGGGGGCCACCGGAGGCGGCTGCGACTTCTAGATGCCGTACGAAGAGATGGCATGGAAAGTTAAGATGTGCAATCAAGGTTGAAACCCAAGGTAAATATTCTTGACGCTCTGCTTTCATTATATTGCTGCCATTCGGCACAGAACTTCAACCAGGTAGATACCATAAGTGAATCAAGCAACATGAAACCGGTACATTTTGTCTTCCATTATCGTGATGCTCTTAAACGCTTGTGCTATGCTCTTCTAATGCCATGAATTCCGTTGTAATCCAAACAAATGGAACGCTTCTTTATGCCGCTTTGATGTGTTGCCATTTCCCTTTTCTGCTCCTGGTACCTTCCATTCTCTTCCATCATTGCGATTCATTTCCCGGATTCTCGTCGAGATCACTCCAAAAGACATCAAATGTCCAAAAAAGGCTGTTTCATCCCAGTGCCTTCTACTTTCATTTTCGTATCGGTTCCGCTTTTTGGTCAGTAAAGCTAGAAGGTAGTACCTATTGATCTCGGCCCTTTGGATTACTGTTGTGGGCACAGCGCCTTAGGCAGGCCCGTTTCATCTACGCCTTCCATGTTCGGGAACTGGAAAGCCAATGGAGGGCTTCCTCCCACTTCTTCCATAGGAGAGAGAGAGCCCGAGCAGTGGTATTAACGGTGTTCTCCTACGAAGTCCCCGTGACTGCCTGTGCTTTAGGTAATTTTTGATCTTGCCCTTCCATGGGTTTGATCCTGAACTTCCATGTCAAAGGGCGGATCCACAGCCATTGTATCCGAAGGGTTTCTTGCTGCTTCTTTCATCTCTCTCACAGGAGAAGAAGCAGAAGGATTAGCAGCGGCGGTATGATTAACGTGCTCGGTCTCTTGCGACATCCTCGTGAATGACTGCCTCTGCGCTTCGGACGCGTCCGATTGTTGGCCCTGAGTTCCCGTTTTCGTAACGTCATCCCATAATATGGTTGACCCGGGTCTGTGGGGTGTACGCGGCTGCTCGTCTTGAGTTCCTGCCATAGGCGAATCCTGTTGTTGACCCCGAGTATCCATCACAGGAAGGTCCGTCACATGGATATTTGGGAATCTTGTTGTTTGCCGGGGCAATTCCTCCTCATCCTCTGCCATAACCCACTCCTTGGCCCACAACGCATCCCCCAGCCATTCTCTCCTTACCCACTCCCTCCATACAGGTAGTGGCCTATCAGTCCTGGAAAAACCCTGGTCGTGCTGCCCTCTTTGAATTTCCATGTCCGACGCTTGTGTTGTGCTCCTGCTCCCGCCCCTAGCAAAGAGACTGGTAGGAGCCACCCCTGCCATCTCCTCCAACTCGGCTACCACCTCCTTGATCACTGCCTCCGCCCAGTCCGTAGTGAACCAGCACTTGCGCTCCGACTCCTTCAAAAGGCAGCAATAATATCCCAACAAAGCCAAGGCGATCGGGTTTCGGTACCATGGCGGTGGCGAGACGGAAAAGTCGAAGGCGGAACTGGATGACGGGGGCTCAGGTCGTGGTCGAGGAGGTTCACCACGATCTTCCAACATCTCGGCAAACTCACCGGACGCGTTGATGGGCCAAACCGCAACAACTTCCTGCTCAGGTGTTCTGGAATTCCCCATCGCTATTCTAATAGCAGCCTCCATGGCTTTGATCTCTTTTAGGATAATTTTGCTGTTTTCCTTGTCGTTGCTCGACATTGACTGATTCTCAGGATCGTATTGGTATGGCGGAGAAAAGAGCCCAGGACTTCTGTATGGAATGCTCGCAACGCGGCGGTAAAACCCCTCGAGCTGCGCCAGCAGTCTTTCCATGCTAGGAAAAACATCACCGCAGGAATCGCGGTTGAACAGCCCGCCCATAGGGCCCTTCTGGAGATGATCTTGCTGGGTACTAACGATAGTACCGATCCCCTTGACGGTGCGAAAGATGTTCAGAAATTCATCGATCATAGGGGCTTTTGTTGTTTTCCCTTGTTCCCTGTCATTAGTCGGGTTAAAAAACGGCCCGTTGCTGCACATGGCCCCAATGAACAACAGCGTACTGGCAGGAAAAACGACATGGCAGTTCTCTGGCGTGACGCCGTCCTTGCGCAGGACTTCCCCCATTCCTGATAACGCCAAGCTGAAATGGTTGCGGCCATCGTTAACTCGTTTCTTTCTTTTTTCTTCATCCAGTTCCGTATACGCTAGGTGGTAAGCAGCAGTGGACAGGAGGTTGTGCATCAGAAATGCATGTGAATAAGCCAGCTTGGGCACCTCAATCTTCCAGATGCGTTCATGTACTCCTCGGGTTAAAGTTGTGTAAGTGGTGGTGGTGTAGTGGGTAAAGAGTTCGAAGTCCTGGGACACAAAGCCCTGCAAGGTGAGATCTGAGTCGGAGGAGGATCCCGGGTTTGCGAGAGCGGAGGGAATGAATGACGTAAGGTATGGGAAGGGATCGGTGGTGGGAGTACTGAATGCCTCAGTTGGCATGGGACTCTGCCGCAAGGGGGAGGGATGGCGGGAGCGAGATTGAGGGGTTGGGGGATGAGCAGCACCGACCAAGGGATGGGAACTGGGCTGTGAGAAGTTATTGGGAAGGGGCAATTGCCATGCAGGGCTTGGGGCTGAGTATAAACGGGCTGGTGAGGGGCCGGAGACCTCGAGATATGGAGGAGGTGGATATGTCGGGTGGGTGAGGGATTGGATAGCCATGGGGGTGTGACGCGGTGTAGGGAGGGTGTTGAAGTTTATCTCGTCATGGGGTACTGGAGCGGAAGGGTGGCGGCTGTCTCGATTGCTCACATGTATCCCGGATCCGAAAGCCTGATGAAATCCAGCTGGAGACCGTGAGTGATCGCTGGAGGCTGGGGTCAAAGGGATGTTACCAGCACTGCTGGTTTGTGGAACAAAGGGGCCAGACCCGGAGCCAGACCCGGAACCGGAGGCGAGAGCGGTGCCGGATGGGCCGAAAGGATTGCTGGCGTTGCCGGTTCTTGGGCGGCAAGTCAAAGGGGGCCCGGGTATAGGGCCAGAATTGGGGCCGGTGGTAAATGGGGCAACAGAGCTAAAGGTGCCGGCGCTGCTAGTAACTGAAACAGCGCCGGGGCCGGGGCCGGAGCTGCCAGTGGCTGGAGTAGTGCCGGTTCCCGAAAGGAAGCCGCTAGGTCCCGCTGCTTCGGCCGTCACCAAGCTACAAAGGATTCCATGACGTTGGCATGCCGAACAAGGTTTCTTCTCATCACACTAGGGGGAAATGGAATGTTAGTTACCACGCACACGTAAAGCGGTGAAAGTTAACAATACACACCTTGACTCGACGAGCTTTACATCTTGAACACCCGGTGCGAGACTTTTTGTATCCCAGACGCGGTCCTTTCTTCCCACCGTGACGGGCTTCCCGACCCGCTGGAGGTTGTGCTGACATTGGTAGGTAGATATTGAACTGTCCCAAAGCGGTAGGTGAAACACGGTGTAATTCGTATTCGGACAGGATATGACGACGGGCAGGTTGTCTGGAACCCGAGAGGTATCAATGGTATCAATGGTGTATCGGGCCCGTGCCTGGGCTGGTGCAAGTACCGGCCTCACCGGTAAACCCCACCGGTAATTATCGGTGTAACAACGAAATATCTGTATGCAACATGTAAGCAATGATGGTAATAACTTTTTGTGAAGTGTGTCTCCCTGTTCTCCTCGTCTCCCTACCTACCTAACCGTCTTGATGGCCAGGTGCACCGCGTCTATCCAAGCCCGGAAAGCAAGCAAGCGACCGGTAGTTGCAATCCGTACGTATCTGTCGTCCGGCAGATCAGTATCGTTCGTTCTGCCCGTGCATACCTCTCAGAACGATTCCTCTGGTGGGTAATGAACGTATTGTGGTTACGCCCGTTCTGTCGTAACCTATTGCGGTCTGGGTGATGTCTGGCTGTCCGGGATGTCCTGATAGGCGCGTCCAAGGAGTGGTTGCCGGAGGTGAGCACGGGTCGAGAAACCTGGAAGAGAAAGAGAAAGCGAAAGCGAGATGGAGAATTGGGGTGATGGGGCGAGTGCCAAGTTTCTGTTCCTGGAGAGAAAGGAGGTGAGCGACGAACACAAGTGCGTGGAGGCGGAAATGTGGGACGTGCATGCTTCGTGTCGCGGTAGATGAACCACTGAAAAGCGAGGGGATCCGAATACGAGGGGCTGGGGCTACCTAGTATCTCACACTATGTTTGTACCTACATAAGGCATGTATGTTTCAGATGACATGGTCCCCTCTTGAGCCTCTAACCTCTCCCGCGAGAACCTGCCCGGGAGTTGATGTTGTTAACATCCACTTGGGCCTCCGAAGAATGCTCAACCAAGAAACACCAAAGTCGATGATTAGTGATTAGTGACAACCGGGCAAAATTGACAAGACGGATTGTTGTTGTTGTTGTTGTTGTTGTTGTTGTTGTTGTTGTTGTTGTTGTTGTTGTTGTTGTTGTTGTTGTTTTTAACGTCTACTTCCGCCTCCCGTAGGGACGGATTGTTTGTGTGGCCTGGGCCAAGATGGAATCAAGGAATCCGAGTTGTAACGTTGGAATACTCAACATAAGCAAGAGATTCAAATGAATCCGAAGGTAAAGCACGTAGACAGGAAATCAGATGCCTTCGTGCTCCTCTCGCGACTGGTAGGGTGCGATTTTAGAGCTGTTCTTTCCTAAAAGCTCATGCTGGTCTTCTTTGCTCCTCCGCCATCCGTGATGCCTTCATATTCCTGTTTATTGACCTCGAGACATTCAACCATCTGTGTGCCGCAGTTGGCGAGGGGCACTCTTTCCTCCTGTTGTCGGGCCCTGTTGTAAAATACGGCAACATACGGGATAACACAGCTGTGACCCGAGAAAGTAGGTACTTTTCTCCTCGACGTCCATTGTCCAACAAGCGCCCGACGAGAACATTATATAAGGTATTCATGCTATAAAAGACAGTCACATATCCTGAATAGAATGACAACAATAGCCAGGCGTTCACTGGATAACAATTCACTTCAATGCAAATATCAGTGTTTCTATTCCGCATGTAACAACAGCCGAAGCCCTGTTTCCCCAGCCCAATCACAAAGGTTCAGTCGTAACCAATGGTCATGCATTTACCCATCATGCACTGTGCCCCTTCCCCCTTCCCCCTTCCACATCCTCACGGCACTGCATGCCACGCAACCACCCATCATTCCGTCAATTTTCCCCAATTCACCTTCCATTCTTCCAATCCCTTCCTTCCTCGGACTAGGACATGTAGATTGATGCCTACCTGCCGTGAACACAGTTTCCGCCGAGTTCGTCCGCCATCCATTTCCATAACACGAGGTTCGGAACCGGAGAACGGACAGTCGCAGTACCCGAATGAACAGACTTGACATAAACCCACGGTCCTGTCTCCGGGGTCTGGACCCGATCACGAATAAGATCCCCCGTTGTATAAAAGTATCTGGTACGTGAGGTATCTGACTCTCAGCCTGGATATGAGTATGTGACAATTTCATTCGTACACTAGATGTTCATTGGGGCTTATTACCTTCTCACCGGCATCAAATACCTTATCATCTACACTACAGTAGACTTGATGCAAGTGCCGATCCTCGTCTTAAACTTCCTGTCTGAGCCATGGAGAGCATGTCGATTCGGATGGGGCGTTTCTTAATTCTTGAAAAGGAGCGGGTTGGCGGCCGTGGCTTAGCGGCACGGCACGGCATGGCGTATTGGCGTTCAAGGCCTGGGCCTGTTTGGACTCTGGCGCGGATAGTGTTTTAATGTCAGATTTTGGTTTTTTTTGGTGAATGGCGGCCGAACTTGAGATTACACGTACATGCGCCCACCATCGGTTACAGCGGCGGCGCGGCCGCCAGACATACATACATACACCAACGAAGCATCTGCTAGCTGCTTTGTGGCTGCTGTGTTCTATTTCATGCCTGGAAGGTTTGTGGGTGGTCTGAATGCGAGAAAGAAAGGAGAACGAGACATTGGTTGATAGCTTGGTCATAGGAGATTATGGTAGTTTTGCTGCCATGTTCCCAGCCGTCCATGTCGCCGTTTTGTTTATGTTGTGGAAGGTCGTACATGGCTGGTCCATCTGTCCACCTGTCCACCTGTTTCCCTTGGATGACGAGATGAGAAGAGAGAAAGTGTCATGACAAGTCAAAGTGAATCATGCTGAGCAAAAGAGCAATCCTTCGGTGGCCACAAAAGGCAAAGCCAAGGGGCGAGGAGCGAATCAATTTCTCACGAGACCAAATGCGAGCGTTCTACAACTTGTGTTCCACAGTGACACGGTGGTTAGTAGCATCATTTAGGATCAATATCACGGTGGCAGTTGCAATATAGATCAGTGATACAACGTCGAGCGGTTCGAAGCGAGCTGGCCAGAACCATAGAAAACCAGAGGCAACAAAGCTGCCAAGATCAGAACCGGAGTCAAGGGAAAAGCAGTGCATACTCCCTAAACTAAGGTACCTTGTAGGTAGAGGTAATATAGTCGTCGATGGGAATATGCAGCACTCGTGTACAGGGGCATTCATGGAAGGAGGAAGCCATATCGATACATACCAACCGCCTACCTCTGTGAGAGTCCGAGTCTTCGGAATAATGCAACCATCGATGTTCATATGAGGCAACCGCCTATAGGGCATTGATGAAAGGTATGAAGTCCGAGTCGTCGGATGGATACGCCATGTTGCATGTTCCCAGTGTTCCCAGGCGGCGATTGAGGCCAAGACTTGATGTTTCACAATCTTCTACCTCCACCACTCGTACAATGACTCGAGAATGTATCCATCCGTTTTAATCCCGGGGTATTTTGTGCATCAAAAATTCGGACCAGTGGTGAGCAGAACCGAGCAACTCCAGACTACTGTAGGTACAACTAGAGACACTAGCCGACGGAGCTTCTGGTGTGTCGTGTCGAAGTGACCGTCATTGCCAATCCCGGCTCCCCACCTCGCCCACCTCGCCCACCTTCTAGTCAGGCTGAACCAGATCCGCCATCCCGCCAAGGAGAACTTGGGGATGGGGATGGGAACACAGGGGTAGCCCGTGGTTCGTTCGGCCGGAGTTGCTTCCGATTGATAGACAGAGCATATATCCGGTCCATCACCCAATCTATCACTGCGGTAAGGTGTGTGTGTGGTATATATAAGGCGGGGTTGCTCTCGTCCACGGTTCAAGACTGCGAGTCCATCTCTTTACCGTCGCGCTCTCACTATTTCTCGTCCTCACTTTACCTAAGGAATTTAAAGTGAGGCTTCGAGAGCTATCAGGCTCAACAACAGCAACAGCCAGCAGCAGCCATCATGGCCCTCCTAGCCCAACTGGCGCACTCGGCGTCAGCACTCCTCCCATTATTTCTGCCCTCCATCGCAGCCATCATCGCCTTCGCCCTCTTCCAGCGCTTCCACTTCTTCGCGCCGAATCCGCTGTCCAACATCCCGACCGTCGGAGACGAAGAGTACCCTGGATATGAAAAGAAGAGACAGGCGTACCTAACCAAGGCCAAGGATCTTTATGTTGAGGGGTATAATAAGGTTTGTCTTACCTGTCGGACGTACTGGGAACAAACATGAAAAGAAAACAGAGAAAGAAAAAGGGTTGGATGTGCGGAGGAGAGAAAAGGATGCTAACATTTGTGACAAAAACACAGTTCAAACATGGCCTCTTCCGCATCGTCACTCCCAACGCGAGCAGCGTTATTGTCGTTTCCCCGAGCTTTTTGGGCGAGCTGCAGAAGTTGCCGGATGACGTGGTGAGCTTCGATGCTGCTATTGATGAAGTGAGTTTTCCTCCCCTGTCATTTTCATTTTTCCCATTCATTCCTTCCTTCCTTTCTGCCTTAACCCTCTGCACCTTCTTTCCTCCTCCTCGCATTTGATCGGACAACTGCTAAACACATACCACAGACCATGCATACAAAATACACCCTCCTCACCACCCACGAAGCCGTACTCCCTCACACGGTCAAGTCCTCGCTCACCCCCGCTCTCCCTCGGCTCAACCCCCAGATCTCCGAAGAGGTGCAAATCGCCTTTTCGCAAGAAATCGCCCCCTTGATCTCTGACTCTTCCTCCTCGGACTGGGCTCCCGTCAACATCAATTCCAAGCTTCTCCGCATCGTCGCCAAAGTCTCCGGGCGCGTCTTCATCGGCCCCGAGCTCTGCCAAGACGAGCGCTACCTCTCGGCCGCCGTAGGCTACACGGTCAGCGTGATGGAGGCGCGCAGCGGGCGTGGAGAAGATGAGCCCGTGGCTCCGGCCTTTTGCCGCGTGGCGCCTTAAGGAGGTGCGCCGGCTAGCACAATGGGAGAGGGACGCCATGGCTTTCTTGCGACCTGTGGTCGACGCCCGCAGGGAAAAGCAAAGAAAGGGAGAAGAGATGGATAACGACATGTTGCAGTGGCTGATGGATTCCGCCGACCAAGGACAAGGGAAGCAGCACGGCAAGTGGGGAGAAGACACGACCACTACGCGGAAATTGGCTAGGTTGCAGCTTGTTATTAGCTTCGCTGCCATCCATACCACCACGCTGGTGACGACGCACGCGGTCTACAGTCTGGCGGCGGATAAGGGATTGCAGGCTATGCTGCGCGAGGAGATACAGGAGGTGCTGGAGGAGCATGATGGTGTGTTCACCACTTCGGCCTTGCAGGCCATGAAGAAAACGGATTCGTTCCTCAAGGAGACGATGCGTTTCCACCCTCTCAGCCAGACATCCTTCAGCCGCAAGGTCCTCAAGCCGTTCGTCCTGTCCAACGGACAAGTCATCCCTAAGGGCTCGATCATCGAAGTCCCCAACTACGCCGTCTCGCGCGACCCCGAGGTGTATTCCAACCCGAATATGTTTGACCCCTTGAGGTTCTATAACCTCCGCAACGAGGCCAGGGGTAAGGGCGAGATGGAGCAAGCGGCTACGAGCCAGTTCGTCAGCGTCAACAAGGACTTTTTGACGTTCGGGTATGGACGACATGCTTGCCCGGGAAGGTTCTTTGCGGCGAACGAGATCAAGATGATTTTGGCTCATCTGGTGATGACGTATGAGATGGGACTGGTGGAGGGCGAGACGGAGAGGTATAAGGATTGGGATATTGTGGCGGGGACGATTCCGGATCCGACGAAGGATGTCATGTTTAGGAAGTTGTAGGGGCGTCGGTCCTGGGTTGGTGTAGGTAGCCGTCTTTAGATGGAATCGAAATTGATGATCACGTCCAATCCTTCAAGCCCTAGTGATGCTGTGACATCCCGACAGAGCTTCCTTATTCACCAAAGTGGGCAGCAACATGATGAGCCACAGCTGGAGCATCGCCCCGGAAATCCGCACACACCGGGCACACCGATTCCTCCTCCGGTTCCGCATCAACAGTAGACGGCAGAGGATCGGATAAGGTGGTAGAACCCCCTTGCCTATGACCTTGACCGTGACCGAATCCTCCTCCATGCCCTCCTCCCCTCTTCGTCTTGGCCGGCTTGATATACGCATCCAGACCGAACTGCTGCGTCGGTGGAGGTTGGGGATGTCCGGCTCCATATCGGTCTGGACGCGATCCTCCACGGTGATGAGGTTGACGTGTCGGAGAGTCAAAAGTGGCATTGAAGGATTCCATGTCGGCGCTTCCACTGTCGGGGTTGCTGTTCATGGACTGCACTCGTCCGACTCGGCCATCGGTGAGCCGGACTTTGATGCCGCGGGGGTGGTTTCCTTTGGTGAGAACATCCTGGATGTAACCGGATACGGTGCGGCCGGTGGGTTGGTCGGCTTTGAGGACGATGTTGACGCCGGCGTCGGGGATGACTTGTCGGATTGTTGGTACTCGAGGCATGTTTGGGGTTTGATAAAAGCAAAATTACCCGGTACACCTGCTTCTGACCAGTCTGCTGCTGAGTTGATGCGGGTCGCAACGGTTCTTGGGACCGGCCCTGTGACAGAATTGGCTTAAGTAGCATCAAATCGAGTGAGTGGAAGCGGTACACCATTTGGACGCGCAGGTTCCAAGCTACGCCCAGGCGCTACGCCACGCCCAGGCGCCACATGATCTGATATGGCGGTCGAAAGCGGGGCGGATCCGAAGGGAGGAAAAGTGGGTGCTACCAATTACACGTACACAGTAGATGAACGCCTGTTGTGAGAGACTAGGCTCTGTCTGGCCAAATTTTAAGAACCACCGCCAGCGGGCACTACCAACTTTGAACAACCTAAACGCCTACCAAATTCAATGGTTTTTGCTGTCTTCGAATAAGATGTTAGACATCTATCTTTTTAACTTAGTTCTGGAAGGACTTTGCGCCCTGAATTTTGGTTGTTGAACTTGGAAAGTGGTAGATGTAAGGGTTCTACGAGGTATACACACAGGTAGGCCTTGGTGAAAGTGATAATATTCGACAAAGAGGAAAAGGGAAGTCTGTGCCAGTATGGCATGGAGCTTACAGCTAAATACACAAGAGAGGTGCGTATATCGAAGGTGCTAGAAACGCCAAGGTCGAAAATGTGGTTCGTGCGGCATACCCCAGGAGTGCACCCAGTCAGAGGGCAGGCCTGGCTTTCATAGAGTTCAAGCCAGGCAAACACCCCTAGGCGCCAGCCCCATGACAGTAGATGATATACCCAGTGCCAAGTCTGAAAACTGGAGCAAGACTGACTTTGCGAGTGGTTTTTAATTTGGCCAGACAGAAACTCGGGTCTGATTTTATTATTGTTATTAGTATTTTTAACGTCTACTTCCATCTCCCTAAGGGTATAAGACGTACTACAACAGCTGATTTTCTAATTTATATAAGTGATAGGAGCCTTGTAGTAATTTTACAGCTTTAATATCTAGCGTATAGAATTCTCTTAAAACTCAGAGCAATCTGTAGTATTTTGCTATTAAAAATTGTAAGCATATTGCTTGTAACGTAAATGCGATACAACACCTCTATTAAGCTTCTGTAAAAGCGGTAATCTAGTATAAAACAAATAAATATTAGAAATTTGTTTCCTACAATATCCTAACTAGCCTATTATAATAGCATCAGTATAGAGATGCTATAGTGAACTATGCACTTGTAGCAAAACGGAGCGGAAGCGATAGAAAGTACGACAGCAGTATCGAAGGAAGCAGCGTAGTAGTAAAGATAATAGAAAGATGTTGTAAAAGTGTTACGAACTTAAGCGAGTTACACGGGCCAACCAAGCCACTGAGATACAACAGCCGCAGAACGGTGCACCATAGGAGCCAGTAGGGCGCAGAACCAAAAGGGCTCACACCCCATGAGGGCTCACACCTTGAGCCAGGCTCACGCGTGAGCCAGGGCCACAAGGTGAGCCAACACCATCAGTGAGCCACCACCATCAGATAGACTCATGGGCTCAGAAGAGCATCAGGAAACAGATATCTCGCAGAGGGCGAGGAGGTATAAAGGGACGACTGGAGAACTCAGATTGTCAGATAGTTCGACAGTAGTCAATTGATCATTATCACCGAGACTAGTATCAACACGAGCATACTTGTTGTGAACTATTTAGCTTCACCAAACGTCTTCTGATAGTGTTTACCTTCAGCTATCCTACTTGGGCAGATCAGACTGCCGTTCGTCACAAAAAGAGATCTTAGAGAGAACTCTACTCTTAAGACAAAAGAGTACAGTAAACTCTGCACTGTAAGAAACAACTATTATAGTGAACTCTGGATTATAGAAGTAGACTGTATTATATTGCTTGGATTATGCTTGCTTGCTTGCTTGCTTAAGGAGTAACTAACTAAAGAAGAAAAGAGGTCTTTATATATACGAACGTTAAGTATCTAGAAGCTTCCACATATAGAAGCATTTGTAAGTTGATAGGAGTGCTTATATAAGCACTATATTATGAAAGAAATAAACTGAATTGATACTGGAATCTCTGGAATCCTGGTATCATTAGCTATACCTTGTATTATAGCTTAGATTAGTTATGGCAGCCTAGATTAGCTGGGCTGCCATAGAGGCTCTGGTGCTTACCTAGCTGTTGCCCTGCGCTCGGGCCACCTAGCTCGCTGCACTGCATATCTACTGCGGGCAGACAGCTGGCTGGAAGCCAAGCCTTCCTTCTAAGACAATCTCTCTTTTACCCTTTATTTACACACAATATGGCCTCACTCTCGTAACTTCCTATATTGAGTGTAAATCCCACGGTTCCTGAATCATGAATCTATGAGCTTCTGGTGCATTTCATAATGACAAATTAGTCTAGAAGAAATGCTAAACAAGCTAGAGAATCCCAAAATACAGTGGCAAAACCTCTGTATTCTAGCACGTTCTATGAGAGCTGAGTGGACTGATTCCGTAGAAGGAATAGTTCAATCAGCCTTCTATACTACAAGGTAGTGCAAGGTAGTTACAAGGCACAGTACTAACCACACGTTAACAATTATTATTCTCCTCTTTCCTCTTTCCCTCCTTCCTGCGTTGCTTCATCATACGACAACGCCGGTCGTGTCTGCTTCCAAATCCCTCCCTCCCCTTCCCCGCGCCTCGATCCTTCAGCCAATTCGATTACCCTTTCCGTCGTTCGGTGTGTTTTATACATGATCCACGCCAGGAACCAAGCGTAAATTATTTAGTCAACTGGCATCGTATCATTCCTGCTATTCACGAATCAACGTGCCGACTTCAATTCAGTTAGGTATAGGTAGGTACTTGTAGCAATGAATAAACTCAGCTCGCTCAAGCTCCGCTCACCCCGGTCCGGTCCGGTCCGTCGTGGTCCCGGCCGTCCTCCAGGACCAGCTCGGGCTACGGTAGAGCGCCTCGCCGCCCGGACTGGAACAACCGAATCAAATACGTGCGCTGCTGAACGCTCAGCACATGCGCCGCATTCTCGTTACGCAGCGTTCAAGTCTTCGGCCTCCCTCCAGCCTCTTGTCCCGGCCTGGCTGCTGTTATCGGCGTGTTAACCCTGCCGTCGGTTTGGTAAATGATTTCCATCTTTTATTGCGCTGACACGTTTATCCTTGTATCCGTTAGACAGGTTGTTTCCCCGGCTCCGGTCCCCGTCGCGGACTGTATTAGTTGTGTTACACGCGGGTACATCTACATTCGTTCTACTCCCCCGGGCCATGCCTATACTCGCCATCACCGCAAACATGTCGTCTATCGCCCTGCTCCCTTCTTTTCTTCTGCGTGCCCGGGTTGCTTAGGACGCACTCCCTTTCGACGAAGAGACATAGCTTGCAGAAGATGTGCATCCAAGCAGATTGCCACTGGCCTGTTTTTTTTATCCGCAGAGCAGGATTGATGGTGCCCTCGGTGGAAGTGATTATTCTATCCTGATGTCAACAACCTGCATCATCATGACTGGTGTTTATGGGAGTCGGATTGTTAGGTTTCCTGGTTTTTGCAGTGTTCTTGGGTACCTACCTATTGCCAGGTGGTCGTCGATGAAATGACTTGAGTGGGGAATTCTTGGGCCAAGCAAGCTTGACGGATGCACGTGTGCAATCACGTTACTGCATCTCCCATCACTTTCCCTCTCGTCCTTATCGCTTCACCTTGGCGACGACGGGACCTCTCAATCGGATATCACAGTCCACCGAACACACCGAGAACCACTCCACTCCACTCATCTCCATCCCGTCATTGTTGTTGATACCATCTCCATGTCTGCAAACCACCAAGCCCATCATCATCATCAAGATCCCGAATCCGAATCCGCTGCCAGTGAAACCACCACTCTCCTCCCCTCAATCGATTCTCCTGAACAACAAAACACACCTTCAGCACCCAAATGAGCAGCACCTTTTCTGGAGAGTCGGAGCCATCTACGGCGCCGCCGCCGTCGGTCTTGGCGCCTTTGGTGCTCACGGGCTCAAGAAGCGCATTTCTGATCCCAACAAGATTGCCAGTTGGTCGACGGCTGCTCATTATCAGGTATTTCTTTCCCTTTCTTCCTTTCTACTACTGTTACTTACAAAGGCAATAGCTGGTCCACTCGGCCGTCCTCCTCGTCGCGAGTCATCACCCCGTCGCTTCCGCCCTCTTCACGGCAGGCATGACCATGTTCAGCGGCAGCATCTATGCTTTGACTCTCGATACCGAGAAGTACAGGTTCTTGGGCCCTGTGACGCCCGTCGGAGGTCTGTTTCTGATTGCGGGCTGGTTGGCGCTGGCTTTTGCGTCCAAGGGAACTGCCGTCGCTAGGTTTCCTCGTTTTTAGAGGTGGATGAGGGTGGGCGGGATGAGCAGGGGCAGTCGAGGATTATGGCTCAAGAAGAAGTGTGGAGGGTCATGAAGGTCTGTGTGATTTTGTGTGTAATTTTATGAAAACAATACCCAACTCGGTTTTTACCTCTATGTTGTGATAGGTGACGGCAGGCAAGACTCGGATGCATCGGCGACAGTTCAGGACCCGGAACACCGGTGGAGGAGGTGATTGCCGGTGCCGGTCTACCGGAAGCTACGTCGTGCTGGGACCTCGGAAGGTGTCCTCCTCGAAACACGCGTCGTCACCATTCACCTGGGCATTATGTTTGCCCCACGGCCTCATCCCTGCCTGGGGGACAACCTCATCGAGGCGACGGAATATGGCTGCCGGGCTTGACTTTCGTGTCGCCGGCCGTACTGTGTAAACAAACATTGTCTGGGTTAGGGTTCGCCAAAGACCTTCTCCAAGTGATTATGTCATCTTGTGGGCCGGCCATAGAGGTGCTCAATGGGAATTGTTTGACCCCCTTTTGCTTGTCAACAATTCCGTTTGTCGTCCATCACCACGGTGATTGCACGATGCCTTTTCTTCTCTTTGTGTTACGTGAATCCGTTTGTCTGACCGTGATTTCATCCCAAATAATGCCATGCCTCATTGCGAATCGCCTCACCTTTCAATAGTAGGTCTACTGGATTGATCTGCAGGTTAGCTCGTTATCGATACTACCAGACCCCCTCCCCTCAATACCCCAACTTCCCCTCACTTTGCGAGCATCCTCCAAACATCAACACCACATTGAACATCAACATCACCACAAGCAGCATTCATCACAGTACTCACCTTTGTCCGACTACCAAAAAAACCCACCACAATGTCTTCAGAAACCTCCATCCAAAAAGTCACCCTCGTCGGCGCCTCCGGCAACCTAGGCCACGTCCTCCTCTCTCACCTGCTCAACACAAACCTCCACACCACAATCCTCCAACGCGCCTCCTCCAAATCCACCTACCCCTCCCATCCCAACCTGACCATCACCACCGTCGATTCCTGGTCTCTCCCGGACCTCACCGGTGCTCTCCGAGGTCAACACGCCGTAATCGCCGCCTTCCCCCTCCGCGACCTGCACGCCCACCTCGTCCTAGCCGAAGCCGCCTACGCCTCTGAGACCGTAACGCGCTTCATCCCAGCCGACTATGGTAGCGTAGACGCGCGCAGCGCCAGAGCAAGGGAGCTGGTGCCTTTGTTTGGCAAAAAGGTGGAGGTGAGGGAGTTGTTGGAGAAGTTGTCGGAAAACAGCAGCGGCCGTTTCAGCTGGACTTCTTTGGTGAATGGCCACTTTTTCGACTGGGGACTTACCAATGGTTTTCTTCACTTCTATCCTTTCGAAAACCCGACGCCGAGGGCACATATCCTTGGTTCTGGAGACGAAAAGTCTAGCCAGGCGACGTTGGGGCAGGTGTCAAAGGCGGTGGTGAGGATTTTGACGGGTGATGAGGATCTTCTGGAGAAGACGAGGAACAAGGTTTTGATGCTGCAGAGTTTCCTGGTATCGCAGAATGAGGTTGTTGATGTCCTGGAAAAAGTGACGGGAAAGAAGTACAAGAGGGAGTATGTCGATGCGGAGGAGTATATCAGGGAGAGAAAGAAGGTGGCGGATGAAGGCGGGGAGGGAGCCGCGGAGGCGATTGAGGATTTGGTGTTTGCGCTGGGGGTGGTGGAGGGGGATTGGACGAGGAAGGAGGAGTTTTCGATGGAGTTGTTGGGGTTGGAGGAGGAGGACTTGAAGAAGGTGGTTAAGAAAGCGCTCCAAGAGAGTGAGGAGGGGAGGAAGTTGTTGGCTGGGGCTGGGGCTGGTAACTAAGGGTTATCTCGCTATTGGCGGTGGTCTTGGTGGGAAGGGGTTGCACGATGATGCATGTGAGGTATGGATGGTGACGAGAAAAAGATGGGAGATGCATTTCGAGAACCTCAAGGCATTGCGGAGAATGGATGAATGAATGAGCTTGTTGGCCGGCCCGAAACAACCGTGCAACATTACTGAGGTCGCTGTGATTACACTCCTCATGAAAGATGGGAAATGCTCGTATTGGGCATGGGATGAGAAGTGGCATGGGATGAGAAGTGGCAAGGGGACAAGGGACTTCACATCTTTTCGAGCAGCACCAGCTCCGATCTTTATCATAACGAGATCCACACAAGAAGCACGCAAACAGTTCACAATCTGAGGAACCCCACAAGGGACAACGAAAACAATTCGGACAATGGGGCCTTTGCTGCCTTCTCTTGGCTGGTGCTGGCCTGTCGCGCTGGTACATTTATGGCGACGACGTGGCCTACAGCATGAAACACGTTGATCAGCACAACACATCGTATCTCGAGATATGGGAATTCCATTTCCCTGCGTGTATATCCTCAAGTCAGCGAACAGGCCCGACAAGTTCCGTGAAGTTTGCTCATCCGGGTCATTCCTTAGACGTTCAGTCAGGGTCCAGTGCCGAACTCCTGAAACATCTAGGCCGCCTTCGGGGACCAACGCACAGAACCAGATCGTCTGAAACAAGAGTATGTATCGGGGATTCACCAGCCCTACTACCGTAATCACGGGGATTACTTACTCGGTTTTCCGTTAAGGCAAGTTTTCGGCCAGATGTCCTTTTCTGGTCTAGGTGAAGCGGGAAAGATCTAGACATGATCGGATTGTTCTCGCCGTTAATGGCATGCTCATGATGTGTGCTAACCTACAAAGGCAACCTTCGAGAAGGATCGGCTGCGACTTCGACCCTTCCAGGTTCCTTTCACCCTATCTCTGTCGTCGAGCTAGCCGGACAGCTAGCCGGACGAAAACAGCTTGCCCCTGGGTGTTATCCACCAACCCCCTTGGAAAACAAGGAAGGTCCTCGTTTATGATGGTTTGTGGAGACTTTTCACTTTTGCTGGCAGCTATTCATAGATGCAAATATTTCCGATTATTTCCTGGTTTCTGTCTGTTATCGTTGGGCGGAACAAGTGGCTGTCTCTGTGTTTTGGTTCGTCTTCGTTCCGAAATCCGTGTTTCGGGACAGACGGAGGTGTATGTAGCTGGTCCCTTGAGAAGATCTCTAGGAGAAAATCTCTGAATGCCAGAAAAAAAAAAAGAAAAATCAGGGACAAACCGCCCGGGGGACGAAGAAGCTTATCGAGAAACTCGCTTCAACCTATGAGGCGCAGCCTGTTGTCCAAATGGGAATGTACACTTTACGAGTCGGGACTGGAGCCAAAGAAAGGAAGCCAGTCGGGAGCCCGGATCTATATGGACTCGACACCTGCAGCACGACGTCAGTCCTACCGGGATGAATCGGGGAGTGAGAAGCTTATCGGGGTCCACAACAGCCCTGTTAAACTGGAACCTCCTGGGTCCTCCACGTCTCCACGAGTGGAGGAGGGATGGACATTGACAGCTCTCCTCTTGGCAAAGCAGTAGCTTCCGTACGCTCCGTGGAAGCTTCCATAACCCCTGAGCTGAGAGAAGCTTCCGCTATCTGTTGCCGTTTCCTTCACCTCCTGTTGCTGCGATGTCGGTGCGAGAATGTGGAGTGTCGTGGGAGGATCAGGGGCTCTGGTTGGTCTGTTTCTGCTCGTCGTGTTCTAAACACCACGTCGATAAAGTACACTCGCGGTTCGCGCTCGCGGGTTCAGTTTCAACTTTACGGTCTGTGCAATATCTGGTGCACTACTTGCTCATACTGACGAAAAGACGGTTTGGCATTGGATTATCTAAGCGCACCCTTCATGTCGGTGAAGAGGTCAAGGCGTTGTGGCCACTGGGTTATCGCGGCTATCTGATTCAGTGTCCTACGGGATACCCATTTTGGTGGTGTATCGTGAGCAAGTGGAAGAACGAACTGGATGTCCGCAATGAAGCACCATGGAAATCACGTCTCGATATTATCTGGAGATCTTCCGAATACCTTCCTTATTCACGGTGGAATTCAACGTTCTCGACTTCCTCCCGCATCGGATGGGCCAATCGGTCAAAGGAAAACAAAACAACGGCGTCTCCCGTCTGGACTCTGAAGGGAAATAACTGCGGCGGTGAGTTCATCCTCCAGAGGGTTAAAAGCTCGGGGAACGATCATAAAAATAAATGGCGAATTTTGAATACTGCATTGTGTCGTCGATGTCGTATATGTAACACAAACAGCGAAACCGCCGGTTAAGAATATCGGCATCCTAAACGAATGCCATACGTAGCGGTGACACCAATGCTGCATCGAATTCAAGCCACTGCCGTTGAACCCTTCCGAAACCCTTGATGACGATCGATTGTGCTACCATCTCTTCGTCCACCGGACGTATCGGCAAGCCAGCAGGGCCAGGAGGTGTTGGACAAGTGAAGTGGGGCGACGATCACAACGATAACGCTGGAGATTTGACAATGACGCTCCAATCACCTCCATGGATTGGAAAGAAAGTGGGAGTCGTAACGAAATCGCCCCCTGAAAATGTTCCGCAAGTCCCGGCGCCAACAAGATGTCAACAACGCAGTCTGACATGGTGACAGGGCCAAGACCAGCGGTCCGCTCCCGATCAGAAAGCTTGTTTCGTCAAAGGTTCTCCACAGTTCAACACTTGTCAAGTCGGAGGAGCAGAACAAGCATTTCCTGACTTTTGACTTTGCTGGCACTCCCGCCACTCCCTGGCACTTCTTAACAGTTCACGGAGCATTGGCCTACGTAGACTGTTAGGTAATGAGAAGCAATTCATGTGTGTGCTTCCATGCTCCATCGACATCCATGACCGACACCATTACCAAATCCACAAAGCACGAGAAGGTTTAGCGAGAACTTCCGTGCGCTCCAGTCTTCATGGGGTCCCCATCCTCCAGATGCTCTGTGCTTTTGCTAGGTTGTGTGGACAACAGGGCTGTGGCGGTGGGTGCTTGTTCTTTTGTCTTGTCTTGTTGCTCTATGATAATCGTCTCGTCTCGCGTCGCGAGGATCCCCGGGCGACCCGGAAGGACAGACAACGAGAACTCGGATGGAGGAGTAATGGAAGCAGTGGAAACAGGAAGGGAAAGAGTTGGAAGAAATAGAAACACACCTGATATATATTGCGTCCTCTCCCACGGACTGATACCGAACTTTTCCTTTGAAGTCATCATCTCATCATCATCCATCAATCATCCTGACGGAGGAAGCCTCTCCTCACTTCACGGACAACACCTACCTATCAACCTAGACAACCTTTGCATCCACCGTCCGAGCTGATTGAACTGATATTGAGACAACAGCTTTATCATCTCATAATATCGACTTTCTCGACTTCGTTCTTCACCCTTTTCCCCTTATTACAACACCCTAATACACACATCACCATGAGCCAACAACAAAACCCCCCCTACGGCCGCCGCCTCATCCTCGACATCATCAAGGAGCGTGCCCACAACGAGCCCGACCGGGAATGGATGTCCGTTCCTCGTTCGTCCGATCCCAAGGACGGGTGGAAGATCGTCACCTACCTCGACGCCTACAACGGTATCAACCGCATTGCGCACAAGCTCACGCGGGTCTGCGGTGCTCCCGCGCCCAACTCGTTCCCCACGGTCGCCTACATCGGTCCCAACGACGTGCGCTACCATGTCTTCGCTCTAGGCGCCGTCAAGGCCGGCTTCCAGGCCCTCTTCATTTCTGCCCGTAACTCCGCCGAGGGCCAGCTGTACCTGTTTGAGCAGACGAACTGCAACATCTTGGTGTTCGACCAGAGCTACAAGGCCATGGTCCAGCCATGGCTCCACGAGCGCGAGATGACGGCGATTTTGGCGCTTCCCGCTGATGAGTGGTTCCCCGCCAATCAGGAGGACTTCCCGTACAACAAGACCTTTGAGGAGGCCGAGTGGGATCCCCTCCTTTTGCTTCACACTTCTGGAAGTACCGGTTTCCCCAAGCCCATCGTGGCCAGACAGGGTATGCTGGCTATCGCCGACAAGTACCACAACCTCCCTCCCCGTGAGGATGGCAAGCTCATGTGGGTTGCGGAGATGAGCAAGAGGGCCAAGAGGATCATGCATCCTAGTGAGTATTCCCCGGTCAAATGGTCGATCTGCAGGGTCCAATGCTAACACAGACGAAAAACAGTGCCCCTCTACCACGCGGCTGGCATGTACATCTCCATGCTCATGATGCACTACTACGACACCCCTGGTGCTTTGGGCGTTGGCGACCGTCCTCTCTCTTCCGACCTCGTTCTCGAGTACATCAAGTACGCCGACATCGAGGGCATGACCCTGCCTCCTGCCATTCTCGAGGAGCTATCCCAGGACGAGGAGGCCATCGAGGCCCTCAAGACGCTCAACTTTGTCTCCTTCGGCGGCGGTAACCTCGCTCCCGAGTCCGGTGACCGCCTGGTCGAGAACGGCGTAACGCTCTGCAACATCATCTCGGCGACCGAGTTTACTCCCTTCCCCTACTACTGGCAGTATGACAGAACGCTCTGGCGCTACTTCAACTTTGACACCGAGCTCTTCGGCATCGACTGGCGCCCCCATGACGGCGACTCCTCTTACGAGCAGGTGATCATCCGCAAGGAGAAGAACCCCGGTCTCCAGGGCTTCTTCTACACCTTCCCCGACCTCAAGGAATACAGCACCAAGGACTTGTACAAGCCCCATCCCACGCTCAAAGACTACTGGATCTACCAGGGTCGCGCCGACAACATCATTGTCTTCTCCAACGGCGAGAAGCTCAACCCCATCACCATCGAGGAGACGGTTCAGGGTCATCCCAAGGTCAAGGGCGCTATTGTCGTCGGCATGAACCGGTTCCAGCCTGCTCTGATCATCGAGCCGGCCGAGCACCCCGAAACTGAAGAGGCCAAGAAGGCTTTGCTGGATGAGATCTGGCCCACGGTCGTCCGCGTCAACAAGGAGACCGTTGCCCACGGCCAGATCGGCCGCCAGTACATAGGTCTCTCCACCCCCGGCAAGCCGTTCCTGCGTGCGGGTAAGGGCACCATCCAGCGCCCCGGTACCATCAGCATGTACAAGGCCGAGATCGACAAGATTTACGAGGACGCCGAGAAGGGAACTGCCACCGGCGAGGTCCCCAAGCTCGACCTCTCCTCTTCCGACGCCTTGATCCTCTCCATCGAGAAGCTCTTCGAGACCTCCCTCAACGCTCCCAAGCTTGAGGCCGACACCGATTTCTTCACCGCTGGCGTTGATTCCATGCAGACCATCACTGCCTCTCGTCTCATCCGCCAGGGTCTTGCTGCTGCCGGTGTGAACGTCGATGCCTCTGCCCTCGCCACCCGTGTCATCTACGGTAACCCTACTCCCAAGCGTCTGGCCGACTACCTCCTCTCTGTCGTTCGCAAGGACAACAAGGACGCCACCCACGGCACCTCAGACGACGAGCACCACGGCATGGAGGCCCTTGTCGAGAAGTACACCCAGGATCTCCCCACTCCCAAGCAGAACAAGCCCGCCCCTGCCGACGAGGGCCAGGTTGTCGTCATCACCGGCACCACTGGCGCCATCGGTTCCTACATGATCGACATCTGCTCGCACTCCTCCCGCGTCAGCAAGATCATCTGCCTCAACCGTTCCGAGGACGGCAAGGCTCGCCAGACTGCCTCCTCCTCCGGCCGCGGCTTGTCCACCGACTTCTCCAAGTGCGAGTTCTACCACGCCGACCTGTCGCGCGCCGATCTCGGTCTCACCCCTGAGGTCTACGCCAACTTGTTGACCTCGGTCGACCGCGTCATCCACAACCAGTGGCCAGTCAACTTCAACATCACCGTCGAGTCCTTCGAGCCTCACATCCGCGGCTGCCGCAACCTGGTCGACTTCTCCTACAAGGCCGATAAGAACGTGCCCATCATCTTTGTCTCCTCCATCGCCACCGTCGACCAGTGGCACGACGTCGACCGCACCGTTCCCGAGGCTTCTCTGCACGACTTCTCCATCTCCGCTGGCGGCTACGGCCAGTCCAAGCTTGTCTCTTCCTTGATCCTCGAGAAGGCCACCGAGGTCTCTGGCGTTCCCACCGAAGTCGTTCGTGTCGGCCAAGTCTGCGGCCCCTCTTCCGAGAAGGGATACTGGAACAAGCAGGAATGGCTTCCCTCCATCGTCGCCTCTTCTGTGTATCTCGGTCTCCTCCCCGACTCTCTGGGTCAGATGACCACGATCGACTGGACGCCCATCGAGGGCATCGCTAACTTGTTGCTCGAAGTCTCCGGCGTCACCGCCACCGTCCCGCTCGACAAGTTGCACGGATACTTCCACGGCGTCAACCCCGAGCGCACCACGTGGTCTGCGCTTGCGCCCGCCGTCAAGGAGTACTATGGCGACCGCATCAAGAAGATCGTTCCCTTGGATGAGTGGATCAATGCCCTCGAGAAGTCCCAGGAGAAGGCCGAGGATGTCACTCGAAACCCCGGCATCAAGCTCATTGACACCTACCGCGCGTGGTCCGAGTCCGCCAAGAAGGGAACCAAGTTCGTGCCGCTGGATATGACCCGCACCAAGAGCTACTCGAAGACGATGAGGGATATGAAGGCTGTTACGCCTGATCTGATGAAGAACTGGTGCAGACAGTGGAACTACTAAGCTGGATTCTTAAGAGGTTTAGGATATGGTGAAGGGGCTGCTTTAACGGTTGCATTGTTCAGCGAGGTTGCGATGACTTTTGATCTTTTGATCTTTTTCGTTGCTGATAGACTTGGGTTTTTTCTTCCTCTTGGTTGCCGGCCATGGCCATTGGCATTATTGTTGCATTTGCATCGGGTTTTGCATATAGACTTGGGTATTTGAGTGTGTTTTGATTAGGCGTTTTAGGTAGCATTATAATTGGTAGATTTTTGTCGATCTCAACTGATGTCTTTTTTTGTTGTGATTGTGACCGTGATCCTGGTGATGGTGTTGATTATTGATGATGGAAAAGGAGAAATGTTTGTGTTTACAGGGGATGCAAACAATCGCGGGGCACTATGGCTAATAGCTTTATGACCTTATCGGGGCTTATCGTCAATAGGAACATTGTGTCCGTTATCGGGTGGTTGCTACAGTACGTTTAATCAAAACTTCTACCGGACATCATCTCCTCTTCCTCCAGACAATCCAATTCCACTTTCCCATCACCCTTTCCCACTCGACCACCTTTGACAGCCTCCGAACCAAACGATGCCTTCTCGAGTCATACCTCCTTCTCTCGCTCCTCTTACAATCTCGACTGTCGACGCCTTGCCTCGGTCCTCCCTGACTTCCCCCCTCTGCCTCACCTCCTTGATGGCGTCGCTGACAATGGATGTCTCTGCCGACTTGAACTTCCACGCCGGAACCTTTCGCTCGAACAACTCGTCGATCTCTTCCAGAGCCCTTCCCTTCAGCTCCGGCAAGAAGAAGAAAAAGAACAGGGCACAGCAGAAGCTGGACCCAGCCCAGATGTACCCATACTTTGCGCCCCAGTTCATGTTCTCCGGGTTGATAAACTAGGGCGAGCAGAAAGACGTCAGCCACGCCATGAAATACCCGAGGCTGATGGCTGCCCCGACCGTGTACGACCGCAGCCTCGTGCTCACCAGCTCCGTTGCCACCGGGTAACTGGCAATGCCTACAAAGGCATTATACTCAAAGTTGAACAGGGCACTACACGCAATCAGACTGTCCCGAGCTCTCTTCGTACCCGCCTCTGTCGACGCCGAGATGGCCATGCCCAACATGAACATGCTCTGTACCACCGCTCCCGTTGTCATCAGTGTCCTCCGGCCCATGACATAGCGCATCAAGTACATACCGACATTGACCCCGATAAACCCGATACAAGTCTTCATGATGCTGTACCTGAAGGCCAACTCCACCGGCAGCCCCGACACGATCATGAAATACGTCGAGTAGCTGATGTAGAACCAACTCCCGCTTCCAGCCTGGGTAGCGATGACCCCGAAGCACAGTAGCGTTCTTCGAAGGTCACTGCCACGAAACATATCCAACGGCCCGACCGTACTCGCCAGCCTCTTCTCCTCTTCGATTCCCCTAACCATCTCCACCCATTCAACCTCCAATCTCTCCTGCCCTTCCTTGTCATCCTCCCTCACGACTCTCACCCGTTCCAACGCCCTTCTCCCTTCCGGATACCGTCCCCGACTAACCTCCCATCTGGGACTCTCTGGCACAGCCCACCACACCCCCGCCGACAGTACAACAGGAACAACAAACAATATCCCCAACGGCACCCTCCAACTGGCCTTGCCCATCCACCCCTTCGTCGCATTCGTCGTCACCGCGCCCAGCACACTGCCTATACACACCCATTCCGAGAATAGCGCAACCATGACACCTCTCAGGTGCGGCGGCGCCACTTCTGCACAATAAATGTTGGAAAAGGTCACGAGGAACCCGTTCCCGATTCCAAGGATTATTCGACCAACATATAATGCGGCTGCGGAAGATGTACTGATTTGGATGGCGGTGCCGAGGGATGTGAGGAAACATGCTAGAAGCAAGGCGGGACGGTGGCCGTAGAGGTGGGAGAAGGGGCCGGCGAAGAGGGTGGATAATAAAGAGCCGAGGGTTAGGAACGACGAGAGGAGTTGTTGGAAGGTGTGCTGGTCGTGGTTGCGTTGTCAGCTGGGAGTAGACAAGAGGGAGACAACATGGAGGACTGAAGGGGTGTAGGAACATATGCCAATGCCATACCCACCAGGAGCACTGGGGTCGGGATATCCAAACACCTTGAGAAAGCCCGGCATTGCTTGAAGGGCGGCGAGACAAGCGCTGTCGAGGCCGTATTGCATGTTGGCGAGGGAAACGAGCGCGCAGATGAGGAGGCATTTCTTGTTGGTCTAGAGAGAGGTTTCGGGGAGCTTATCGACGGTAGGTGACGGCGAGTCCTTTCTCTCTTTGCCTTTTTCTTTGGTGGTCATTTTGTGGTTCACTTTTGCTGTGGGTTTTCTTGATCAAGTGATAGAGATGACGCAGTGGATATTAGTAAGCAGAGGTCGCCGAAGAAGCAAGTGCTTCTTGCAACTTAAGAACAGACCATCAACACCCCTGAGAGGGGTTCAGGATCATCACCACTTTCCCCAACACCAGTCTCGCCCATGGTTCTGAAGTCGGAGGTGAGGGGTTAATGTCGCCTCGAGCGGCCGCACATCTATCTCCGGACAGCCAATATTGATCCCCAAGCTGGTTCATCACTTCACACCCAACGCTGTCTGCGCCTCCCTGAGAATTGGTTTTCTGAACCACAAATGTCGACCATAGATAGCAACCATATCATGCTGGGAGAGTGGGGGGATGGCACACCTGATATACTCGAAAAAGAAGATCCCCGCATTTCGGCAGTTGAGAGTCCCCGTTCGTCCTCTGGCTGGATTGTTGAGGCATATTGGAATGGGACGGCCCGTGGCGATACCACATACAAAGCTTTCTAGCTTGACTAGTGTCAGTGGTGATCTTTCGTTGTTATCAAGTTTGCGGGGAGGAAGAAAAGACCATCATGTCATGGAGAACTTACGGCGCCGTTTGAAAGCGTGGTCGCTGTCAAGGAAGCCGTGAAGCTGTTCCCATACTCACGATGGCCGTGCCAGCCAGTGCCGGGCGTTTTTCTCGATATCGATACCTGACTGCATCGATCCTCCACTTTCGGCGACGGTCTGGTCGGAGCGGCCTGAGGCGCTTGCGTGAGCAAATCGCGGTTGGGAGTAGGGGTATTGCTGATTTGGTCATGGACGCGAGGGTTGCTCCTTTTGGGTGCCGTATCACGTCCGACCTCTCTCCTCTTTTCTTTCTTTCTCCTACAACACCGACTTCTGAAACGGGCTGACTGCTCCTCCCATCCATCTTTGAAGGCAGCACCGTTCCAGACTCAATACCTGGCCGTATCAGTCTTCTCGGTGACGCGTGAGCAGCCTGGGGTCCCATCTCTGACTGGCTAGCCATGATCGCGAGGAAGGATTGACTGGTAAGGACCGAACCCAAGGGGTATTGGCGTCATCAAGATGGTGTCCGCCTGTGGCCTTGGTGTTAGGACGTCTCTCAATGGATTGGTCGGATTCTCGCCCACGGTGCTGTGGGAAGTTTTCTTCCCCTTTCCCCTTTCCTCTTTTCTCTTTTCACTTTTTGCTTTTCTCTTTGCCCCCTCCTACGACCAACTTCTGAACAGCGGACTGACCCCTCCCGCATCGATTGATCAAACAAACGCCTTCCTTCCATTTGCTTTTCGACCGTGTTCATTCTGACGTATCGCCTCCCATGTCTGGTGAGTCTGGTGAGTCTGGCGATCGAATGTCAACAACCTAAGCGCGCCTCACTAAGGCCGGCATACATGAGCCGCACACACGAGCCACAACAATGGCATGCAAGCATACAAGAATGCATCTTAAACTCGTCATGCGCGGTTCATCTTCAATTGGGTCGTCCATTCGCTGCCGCTTTCACCCGTTGGACTACATCATTAACGTCTCTCAGGCGCATCCCCTTTTGCAATCAGATCGTTTTTGCGTCTTTTAGTCGACAATTCTCAACAACTCTCCATTCCACGATTTTCGCATGTCTGGGAGGAGACAACGTTATTACGTCATCTATCAACCACCAGAAGCGCCTCCGGTTCTCGAAAGATTTCACGTCATGGATACGACATGCCAGTTCCATATCATACCTTTTGCCTCTCGCAAACATCGGACATAAAGCAGCGGGCTGTCCCTGGCGAGGCTGTGTTGCATCTTCGGGTACCGAGGAGGAACCGGTGGTATGATCCTGGGAGCGCCAGATACACGTTCTCGACCCATGCAAGCGTGAGGTCCAAAGGGAACCTCCAGCAGAACCGCAGAGGTGAGCAGGAGAGAGACTGTGAAGTCAGATGAGAACCCGTGGCAAATTCAACGGCAGAGCACTCAATGCCATCGGACTTCTCGCCCCAAGGCAAAGGGTCGGAAGCAATGCAGCAGTGCCTACCAGAGTCTGCAAGCGTTGTGAGATGAGATGGCGCGGTGCAAGGCGCTAAGGGACAGAGCGAGTGAGCGGCCTGGAGATGTCGGAACCCGAGTAGGACACTCCAACATGGAGCTTAGCAAGATGAGGAGATCACTATCATTGATCTCCTATTTAACTGCGTGAGAAGTCACCTCTCAGTCGATCATTTACCCATCATCCTTCAGTACAACCGCTTCTGTTATATCAACAACACACACCTGTGCAACCAGAAGAAGAACAGCACGTCAGCAAATCACAAAGCTCGAAGGACACTCGCTTGAACCTCACTGCCTCACGATTCTGACACCCTCAACGCAACCAACAACCAACACAGTTCTTACCACCACTTCAAGCAACCATGAAGTCCACCACCCTCGCTGTCCTCCTCGCCGCCGCCGGCTCCATCGAGGCCATCACCGTCTCCCTTCCCTCCGGTGTGACCGTCCCCTCGGGCGTGACTTTGCCCACCGGTGTCACCGTCGTGACCGCCACCGCCTCCGCCGCCAACGGAAAGCGCTTCTTGCACGCCCTCGGCCACGACAAGCGCCAGTTCGCCGGCCTGACACAGAGCGCCGCCGCCACCACGACCGCTGCCCGCCGCCGCAGGTCAAGGCGCCAACAGCAACGTCGCTGACGGCGATGACGACGACACCAACGCTAATGCTGATGCCGATGGCGATGGTGTTGATGATGCCCAGGAGGGCGATGGCAGTGATGGAGGCGCCGATGATGCCAATGCTAATGTGGATAATGCCGCTGGAGGTGACGACGCCAACGCTGATGCTGCGGCTGGAGGAGATGATGCCAATGCGGATAATGCCGCTGGAGGTGACGATATGAACGCTGATACCGCGGCTGGAGGAGATGATGCCAACGCTGATGCGTCCAGTGGCGATGCTGCGAACGGCAATAATGCTGCGGGCGGTCAAGGGGAGGGGCAAGTTGACGCTATCATGGGCGGATTTGCGAGGAAGTTGAGGGTTAAGCGGGAGTAAGCATCTCACATCTCACTTGAGATTGGGGAAGTTCGATTTATTTTGTTGGGCTTTTAGGCCCTTGGATCCTGAGAAATGGTTGGAAGTTGGAGTGTAATGGCTGAAGGAGGAGATGGCTCACGTCACTTGTATGCGCGGTGGAGTGGCTTAGATGGGAATGGTAGGAAAGAATGGACACAGAATGTTTTCATGTTCTCTTCTCTTTGGGGCTGTTGCTAGGCGAGCTTCCTTGTACAACTTTCTTTGCTTTGGGTTTTTTGGTCTTTGGTGGAGGGTAATGGATATGGATATCTGGACGGCGTTGAGGTGGACTGTACTGGATTTGGGGAAAGGAAAAGGAAAATAACAGGACCCGAAAAACAAAAACAGGATACAAATGGGAAAGATTAGAAGCAGCGGCATTGGAGGTTCGGGACTTGGATCGTAGATCTGCCAGTTACAGGAGCAATCGACAATGCACGTGTTTTGTTTTTTGATCTCGGGCCTGTCTCCCTCGACCTCGGTGAGATGAGATGAGATGGAGGAGAGAAACAGTTGAGTTCGAACAACCTTCTCGCTGCTCACAATCACCACTCAGTCACTCACCATCACAGGACATACACAAAAACGACCAACATCGAACTGCCGAATGTCGAAGCATCGTGACGAGTCCCTCACTAACCTCGCTTGTGTAGTCGCTAACGCCTGTATGTCTCCAGTAAAACCGTCTCGGTACTTCTTCCCTTTTCGTCCACGGGAGCTAGCGGTCTTACCTCCGTGAAATGCCAAGATCAAAGCAGAGAGGTCCGCTGTCCGGTAGTGGTTGCCACTGGCTTGGGTGCTTGCGCGTCCGCGTTGTGGTCGTGCACCGTTGCATCGGAACGTTTCAACTGGCTATTTAGCCTAAAAGCTTTTCTGGTTACCACGTGGAATGCTGGAATGGAAGGGAAACGCAACCGGGTAGGTGGTGTTGAAAATGGGATGTGCAGACTGTACCACTAACAGTACGCTCTACTATGGCTATAAGCCAGCTGTTAGTGGTAACCGGTGCACATCCCATTCTTCACACCACCTACTGGGAAAGAAGGAGGACGGTTCATGCTTTCTGAACTGAACATCGACAGTGCCCGTGAAAGCAGTGGGAGGCAAAGGACGACGAAAGAAAGAGGCTCGTGACTGCGAAGTGTTTCATTGAGCGGTTGAACCAAACTCCAACGCGCACATGTAAGTGAATCCAAATCCGGGTCCCCGGTCGTGAGTGTCGACACCGTTTAACATGGAACTGACTGCTGGACGCGTATGTAGGACCATTGGAGCGGCGGCCCCATCGACTGCCACCCCCATCGGGACATCGGGATAAGAGCTTGGCTTTTCCGATCCAAATGCTGCACGGACCGGACTCCGATGAGGCGACGCACGAAAAGGGGCCCAGGAAAAGGAAGCCAAATCCGGGGTTATGCGCATGAAGATCGAAAAAGGAAGTCTGAGAGTCTGAGAGCCGCGCCAGAGGCCAACGGTTCACACAAGCGCTCCACTAGAAGGCCAGGGAACGCTGATTCTCTTCGACTAACACCGTCACAACGGTCCATCCATCCACCATTGCACCATGGGTCTGGAGCTAGCTCCTGGGTCTGGGGTAGATGGTCCTTCGTTCTGGTTCCGCGTTGATGACCAGGTTCCTTACCAGGGCATGACTGGAGGATGGTGAGATCTTGCGGGGAGCGCTGGTATCCAGGGGTGAGGACTGGATGGAGGTGACCGACATGGAATGATCTAGGGCAGGGCGTACGTACCACGGCCACGGCGCCTATGGTAGGACGACTGGAGTATAAGACCCCATCGTCACCTCCAGTCCCTCCTCGGATCTCTCGAGTCTCCCTCTCCCCAGGTACAACCGCTTCTTCCATCCTCCGGTTCAACTCAACATGCATCTCCCCACCGTTCTCTCCGTCGTCTTCGCCGCGGCCGGCGTCACCGCCCAGCTCAACGACCTCGCCGTTGCTGCTGGTCTCAAGTACTTCGGTACCTGCGGCTCCGAGGGCAACATCAACTCGGACACCACCTACCGCAACATCCTCAACAACAAGAGCGAGTTCGGTCAGCTCGTTCCCGAGAACGGCCAGAAGTGGGATGCCACCGAGCCCAGCCGCGGACAGTTCACTTACTCCTCGGGAGATATCGTTGCTGGAGTTGCCAAGCAGAATGGACAGCTTCTCAGGTGCCACACTTTGGTTTGGTACAGCCAGTTGCCTTCTTGGGGTAAGGACTTCCATCTATGAATGAGGGTAATTACGGGATAGAATGGTAAACTGAAAGGCAATGTAACAGTCTCTGGCGGTTCCTGGAACCGTTCCACCCTTCAGTCCGTCATCGAGACGCACATCAACAACGTCATGGGCCACTACAAAGGCCAGTGCTACGCCTGGGACGTCGTCAACGAGGCCGTCAACGATGATGGCACCTGGCGCCCTTCGGTATTCTTGAGCACCTTCAACACGGATTACTTCGCCATTTCCTTCAGGGCCGCCAAGGCTGCTGACCCCAACACCAAGCTGTGAGTCTTTCTCCCCATACCCTCCATCCATTCCTCACAACCGGACTGACACCTCCCAGGTACTACAACGACTACAACCTCGAGTACAACCAAGCCAAGACCGATCGGGCCGTCGAGCTCGTCAAGATCGTCCAAGCCGCCGGCGCCCCCATCGACGGCGTCGGTTTCCAAGGCCACTTGATTGTCGGCAGCACGCCCTCGCGCTCGGCTCTTGCCACGACCCTCAAGCGTTTCACCGCTCTCGGCGTCGAAGTCGCCTACACAGAGCTCGACATCCGGCACTCCTCGGTGCCAGCCTCATCCTCCGCGCTCGTCACGCAAGGTAACGACTTCGCCAACGTGGTCGGTTCCTGCCTGGACGTCGCCGGCTGCGTCGGCGTCACCATCTGGGGTTTCACCGACAAGTACTCGTGGATCCCGCAGACCTTCCCCGGCCAGGGTGATGCTCTTCTGTATAACAGCAACTTCGGCAAGAAGCCCGCATGGACCAGCGTCAGCTCCGTTTTGGCGGCCAAGGCCACCAACCCCCCTCCTGCGCAGACGACTACCCTTGCAACTATCACTACTGCCCCTCCTGCGCAGACGACTACTACCTCTAGGCCTGCGGTGTCGACTACCTCTGCCGCTGCACCGGGCGGTGCGCAGCAGACGCGCTGGGGCCAGTGTGGTGGTATTGGCTGGAGCGGACCGACTGCTTGCCAGAGCCCGTGGACTTGCCAGGTCTTGAACCCTTACTATAGCCAGTGCTTGTAAGCTTTAAGCTGTAAGCTGGCAAGAGGGATTGAAGGTTGGGGAGCGGGAGTAGTGATGTGGTGAGAAGGGGAGGGATTCTTGTACATATTTGTCCCGGAGAGATCTTCTGCTCCTGATCGGAGGTGTCAGAGGGGACTGAGGTAGAGAGTGGCGTTGTACATACCAGTTTTTGAACATCCCTTACATGCAATTTCATCTGGATGTGTCCAATGTGCCTTTGCTGCTTCGCTCGTCTTCTGTCACACGGACATTTGCCCACA